TTTATTTATTTGCAAAAAAGGAAAGAGAAAGAGAATAGAATAGAAATGTGAGTGATAGCTGATGAAAAAAAATGAAAAAAAAAATCAATTGGTTTAATTTTTGGAGAAAGAAAAAAGCTGCAAATGAAGATTTAAAGTAATCGTTCTGTATTGAAGGGATAATATATGAAATAACTGATGGAAGATAGTGCTATACAGCAATTTAAGGCTTCTTACGAGGACATTGAAGAATGTATGAAAGCACTGAGTAAGCTAAGCTGTCTTCACTGCTTACTGTTAAATACTTTCTCAAGATAGCTTAGCTAATATGCTTTACCTAACCTTTGATAGAAGTAGTTTCGAGTATTTCTCAATGAGGACTGGAGTATAGAACTTTTCATTGAAGATATTCTTATGGCAAAGTAATACATTATATTGCATAGTGAAATCACTCAACCAAACCATTTCTCGTCTTTAAAAAGTTTTTATTTTAAAATAGAATAAGATGGAAGCTTAGATTAAGGAGGAAGATGAAAATCTAGTTTAAGTAAAGTGTTGTCACTTGTAATTAAGGCTAATGGAAATGAAATTGGCTCTGATTTTACAAACCGAAATAATTTTTTTGCTTCACGTTAATTTCAATGAATAACATTAATCAGAAAAAATTTTAGAAATTCATTTAAAACATTGAAGCTAATGAATTCAGGAAAAATACATTGAATCAAATTGAACAATTTCACTTTAATATGTAATGTGTAAAAAAAAAATTAAAATTGGATGTGCCAATCAAGTTTAATCTGATCACTGAGCTTAAAATTTAATTTGTTACACCGATCAACAGAAATGCCAAAGAAAAACGAAAAATTATTAATGATAAAGTTTTCAGTGAAATGAACAATTTTAAAATTATTTGTCTATTTTAGTGAGAATAAACAAAGCTAACGTTTGCTCAAAAATTATTACAGTAATTTATTGACTTTCTCTTATTACAAATTCATAAAAAAAGTTAAAATGAATGGCAGAGGAGGTAAATTGCTTACAGGCAACTCATTTGTTTAAATTGTAGAAAAAAGTGAAGCTGAAAAAAGAAGCGTTGTCCGACAATGACATAGGGGACCTTGCAGTCCACCACAGCTTTTCAATAAACAATTTTTTGTAAGCTCAATTTACAGTTATATAAATTTCTGCTGACTTATTCTAATAAAATATCTAATAACATATGAGTCCTAATTGTGTATAATAGCTTTCAGAATATTCACATCATCTAAGACTTATCTATAAATTTACTTTCGTGCCATCACTGTGCTTTATTTTATTTCCCTTTCTTCCTCTACTCTTTTGTTCAATACTACAAAGGCCGCTTAAGTTCAAAGAATGATTCCTGAATAAGTTATAACTTCACTAAGCATTGAAAAGGACTTCGCATTCGAAATGCTTCAGTAATGGATATCAGTGAGGAAATTTCTTAGCAAGGTTAAAAACTTTGTATTCAAATATAACAAGTGTCGCTTATAGAGTTTAAATGAATTTTAGCAAATAATTGCTTAATATTTGAATATTCAGTAATAATTATGTTTAAAGCTAAACCTACTGATGAACTTATAAAATCTAATAAATCATTTTCCCAGTTTTTATATTGAAAATATACTCATTCATACTCGTACCACAGGAACTTTTCTCCTTTTCTCCATCAAAATTCATTATTTCATTCGTTACATTTAAAGTAATTTTTGCTGAACCTTGTATTCCTTCTATTAAAAACAGTAAGTCGTTATGCCATTTATGGTTATAATATTTAGCTATAACACAATTTGTCTTAACAATTGGATTTAAAAAATTTTTATTCTTATATTTGTTCAAAAAAAAAGGCGTCAAATAAGGAATTGGTGCAAGAATTTGTAGACTGAATCCTTTAAAAAGAAAATATTTTTTTTTTTGATAAATTTATCAAGTCTTTCAAAACTGATGATATTCGACAAGAAACAAAAATTAGCTGCAAATGAAAGCACGGATTTCATTTCAACATACGTTAGTTATTGATTTTGGTTAGTGAAATGAATGGATTTTTTCTTTTCAGTTTTATTAGCTAAATTGCCTTTACTTAGCTATTTTTGTTTTCTCCGTTAATTTTCGCTTAATTTTTGGGCATAAAAATTTTCAGTTTTGAATATTTCAGCGCTTTAGATTTTCTCTTCTCATTACATTTTCATTATAGTCTTGCAGCATTATTAAGATAGATTTTGTTGTTCATCTAATGTGTAACTGCTTTTTTTTTGTATTATCAATGAAAGTGAGTGCAACATTTAATTGCATTCTTTCCTCTGATAATGATAGCAGTCATCTTACTGATGTAATGGAAAATAATTCTAACTTTGTTTGTTTTTGTTTTAACGTAAATAATTTCTATAAAGACATTTCTCACTTCTTAAATATAAAATTAAATTGTCAAATTTTTAAAGTAAAGTCTTGATTTCGCCAATGAATCACTCTATCTCATATAATTATTTTCCATTAAGCCACATTTTCAATGAATAATTTTAGATAAGATGAGAAAGGCTTAGTGAAACAATAAAACCGCTTTTATTCGGCTGAGCAGAAAAGTTCATTAAAATTCAGTGTATCACTGCAAACATATTACAAATTGTTTATAATAATCAAAAGAAGCGATGAGTGGAAAAAGAAATTATATATTATTCGTAACTGATGCTTCCGTTTATGAAAGCTATTTCCCCATAATTAGTTCCCATTACTTTGAATTGTTTCCTGATGTTCTTCATTCAGAAATCGTCTGAAAAGAATGGAATCCATCTCCAGTAATTCATTTCCACTCTTCTCTTTTATTTTTCACTAATATTCTGATTTTAATTCTTGCAATGAACCCAAGTAATTGAACTATCATCTTAGATTTTATCCATTTCAATTCACACTGAAAGAAATAACGGCTTTTAGTAATGTTTAACTCATTTTGATGATGCGGTTGGAAAGGCTTACGTTAGAATTCGTGCAACATTTATGACAGCAATGCCAATTTTGTCTCACATTTTGTCATTACATAGTGATGATAACTACTATCACTCTATGAATCTCTTCTTTTATCAGTGAGTGATTATTGATAAATCTACACCAATCAGTCATCTCAGGCATGAAATATCTGATATTACTGATATCACTTCCCCTCATCACTACTACCACTCTGTTGCATTTCCGATTAAGAAAGGAGAATCATCTGCATATAAAAACGTTTGTTCTAATGCTCTTATGCCAACTCTTCTGTTCCCTTCCAGTCTCGGACTAGTTCGATACTGGCCTATGTTTCTTTTCAAAGGGCAGTTGCAATCGAAATCTTCTCTTGGCTTTTCAATGGATTCATTATTCTACTGCTCACCGCAACCAAAATTTTTTTCGAAAATTCTGCAGCAAATTTAGTTTACCTCGTCTCTTTTGCTTTCTTTCATATAGCTCAATGCACATATCAAAAATTATTTGAACAACAAGCTTTTACTTTTACTAATAGATATTTGTCCAATAAATTGACCTAGTTAATCTAATAAATTTTCTTATTCTTTAATTCTATAATATTATCCTTTGCGAAGAACTTTTTTTTTTAAGATTTGGCAGAATTCTGTTTCAAGAAAAATCTTGTATTTGAGTTTGTTGTGCATTTTGTTTACATTTAGCTTTCAGACTGCCTTATTTATTTATTTCTGAAATTCTTCATTTTTTGTCTCCGATCCAATTGTGCAAAAATTATCATATTTTAAAAACTTTGGTAAAGTTTTTAAAGTCATTATTAATTTTTATTATTTTTATTTTGTTTGCATTCTGTCGTCACAATCTTACAGTTGAGTAGATGCGATTTTGCTCTTTTTTTGCTTACTTCCGTAGTGCATGAATGACTTAAATCCTATCATTTTTGAAATCCTATTAGTGACAGATTTATTGAAGGGATAATTCGATGATTAAAATGATCGGTCTATTCCAGAAAATCGATGTAAAGTCTTCCTTATATTTAATAATTTAAATAGTTAATCAGACAACCATTTTTATAAGCCAGCATTGAAGCGTAGAACTGATCAACAATCCAACATTGTTCAGCGATATATTTCCCATAAAAGATACCTGAATTACCTGAAGTCACTTGACAATTTTAAAGAATTTTAAAGACTTCTATATATTATGTATTTTTCAGAAGTTCAACTTAAAATTTGTGAAAATCTTTGATAGCATCAATAATCACATAAAGTTAAAGGAGATGAAAACTAATCAATAATTTATCTAAAAATGAAGCATTTGAAAATTATAGGTAATTCATGTATGAGGCAAGGTGATAAGATAATTATGGCATTGCTCAACAATTATCATAATATTATCATATTCCATAAGCTTTCTGTGCGGAATATTTCTTTTAGCAATATAGAAAATCTGACAACTGATTAAAGGAAGATGCGCAGATAGTAGAGAAGAAAAAGTGAACATGAGAAGAAGTATTTCATCTTTTCAGTCTTTTCATTTATTACATTAGTTTTAGTGATTTTAAAAGTAGGTCGAAAGAATACGGAATGGAATAGCTAACACTAACAGTCTTAAAAGATCCTTCCAAGCATCAACATTAGTCACAGTGTCAATTACATTATCGTCCAGACTACATCAATCTCCACTTTATTTTGCCCTCCGCATTATAACGCGCAAAAAACACTGTTTCGATTAATATTTATTCGTTCTCCAAAACTAATAATTGTCAATAAATGAATCTACTTACTAATAAAAAATTCTGTTTGTCTTCTGTCTCCACAGAATTTAATGACCAAGAAAATGACCACTGATTCATTTGTACTTTTTTAGAATCTGGTCAATGTTCACTGTAAATTGGAAGTTCATTCTTATTTGATACTTTCAGAGACGAAAGATAATTTGGTATATCCTTTCATCCTTTCATTCGCTATTACCAACGTTTACATTTGCAGTTTTTGCAGCATTTGTTGTTTCAGATGTGAGGACGTTCATTTTCAAATTTATTGTTTATGGATATTGGATATTGTAAGGTTGAAAGGTGGCTAACCAGAAACATTTTATGATAAGTAGGAGATTTTGCATAAAGAGAGATCAATTTAATGCTAAGTTCGTTAGCAGAGCTCTTGTCACTGTTTACAGTAGTGATTGGATTGTGGACAAAAATCCCTCAAAAGTAGATCTAATTTCCTTCTTTTATGAAGACTGAAATATGATTGCTGTGTCCTGGTTGGCATTTCAAAGTATTTCATAATTTACAAAAATGGAATGCAGAAGACTAAAAGAGAAAAAATTGCTATTTTTTCGAAATTAAAAACTTCAACACGTTGCTGTAACAAGGCAATGAAAGCAGCTAAGATTCAGGTTAGATTCAGTTTTCTAACATAATGTCATCTAAGTGTTTCAATGACTAAAGTCCTATTTATCTTTCTGTTTCCTGTCATGATTTCATTTACCTTTCTTATTAATTTTTTACAGTTAACAAAAAAATAAGTGAATAAATGCTAAAAAAAAGAGTGACAGATGGGACTAGAATTGCTTTTCTATAAACATTCTTTCCGTCAATCGCATGTGTGAAGATTTTATTTTGATAATGAATTAATCTGTGTCGTCGATTTGTTTTGGATGATTGATTGACTGATAGAGTGGGAAGAAATGGAGAAATTTTGAGATAAGGCTAAGCTATGGGAATTATTTAAAATGATTGAAATGAGAAAAGTCATAAAAAGTGACGAAAAGAAGAACAAAATTGCATTAAAGTAATGCAATTCTGCTATCAATGATGAATCATTTGATAGTTGTAAGAGTTAATGTGTGGTGACCTTTGACACGGTTAAAGTTAAATCTTATGAGTGCAATAAAAGATGGGAAAGCAACAGAAGGAAGAGATCCAAATTCCTTTCTTCTTCTGTTGAATGATGAGCCACAAAGATATCACAACATACTTCAGGTCAATTCATTGAAGCAAATGCGCTAACTGACAATAATGAAATACTGAATTTATAATTGTCATTTACATCTTGAATTTGAACATTCGAATGTTTTTTATCTTATTGCTAATTTCAGCAGTAAAATATTTAAAACAATTAGAAATTGAGTTAATTATCGCATTAAAACCACGTTTTTATCAGGATAAAATTAATATTTGAAATAGAAACATACGTTACGTATTGATAAGCATCAAATTAAAACGCATGTTTCAGGTCTAAAACAAATCTTTTATGAAATCTTTTATGTTGTACAACTGTGAATCGATAAATATTGTAAAATGAAATATGGAAGTATTTTTAATCTTTCCTTCAGCTTTTGATATTCTCGTTTCTTAGTAGTTTGGAGAATGAAACTTCCTTTTTTCTAAAATCCCCGAAATACTCGATAATCTCTGATGTCATCGTAAACAAGAGATCTTGTAGGATTTATCTGCAATCATCGAACCAATAAAGGATCCCAGTGCTTTTTTGGTTTCTTAATGTTTCCCAAAATTTCACAATCTGTATCGATTTGAAATTACAATTCTATTCATCATCTCAGCTACATTTAAATTTACTAAAAATTAATAATCACGTCAAATTCAAATTTAATACCTTTCGTCTTGAAATTTTATAATTATGCCAACAGCTGTGCAAAACAAATGGCAAAAGAACAAGTAAACATTACTTTTAGCTCCAAGACTATAATGTCCTACAAATTTGCAGTTCCTTAAAACTATCCAAACTTTACAATCCGAAAAGATTTTAAAGCACACGAAGAGAAATATCGATTTGTAATATTTGCTTTAAAAAAATTTAAGTTCATTTTCCTGACCAAATTACATTATTTATTACAGTATTTCCGTCATACGATATTCTTGAAACGTATAATTAGTGATTTAAAAATGAATTAATTAAAGCTTTGGACAAAAAGCAGAATATTAGTCAATACATTTCGACCCAAACTATTTAATGAAATCATTCAGATATTCACTTTTTTCCCGCATGAAATATTCACTTATCTTGCATAACCTGGTAAAATGGGTCGGTAGTTTGTGTAAATCTTAGCAAAAATAATATAATCGTTCTCTTTTGTTTTAGTTCATAATTGCTAAAAGCAATCTTAATTTAAATAACAGATTTTCTAAAAAAGAGACAAACTACTTTTTAAGTTTCTGCGAATTCCAGTAGTCCGGTCATCTGATATCTCATTTATTGCATTTTTTAAATATAAGTATTATAAGCTTTTCAGTTGTTAATAGGTTATTTTTTGTTTCATGATTCATTCGAGATTCAAAAGTTGAGCCGATGTTTTAAATTCCATTTTCTTGCTAGATGTAAAATATTAGACAGAAAAATTACTTTTTTAAATGTCCTTATATCAAAATGAAAAATTGTACGGTTTTTCACTTGTGATTGATTTTGCTCAGCAAACCGGATGTCTTTTTGAAATAGAAGGAGTTGGAAAGTTTTGCTCCACTTAGTCGAGAATTTCATACAATTAAAGAGAAGATTGAAAAAGGATTAATGTAATTAGCAAGAATCTTTTCACTTTATTCATAAAAAATCTCGAGAAAAAAATTCTGCAAAAACTGAAAAGCAGTGAAAATGAAAGCAAATGAAAGTTTTGTAACTAAAGAAGCATTAAGCCCAAAAATTGTTTAAAATTTTGTATCAATTAGGATCATTAGAAGCATAAATCAGGATATATTGTTCAATCAGAGAAAGAATTGCAGATAAAGGCACAGTTAATAAAGAAATTCATTATGCCAAAGCTGTCACAAACCAACCTAAATGCTTCGACAATCATTTTTGTTTTTTCAAGGAGGAAAATTCTTTAATTTTTTTTCTTTTGATTCTTTATTAATTCTTGGAAATTTCGGTTACTGCTGAACGACCAATCACAGCATCGCTATAACAGTTATTTCTGGATCCAAAAGACATTTTGTATTTGTTTGAAGAGAGAATTGTCAGTTCAAAGTTGAGCAGTTTTCGAGCAATAAATAGCATTATCAAAACTTTTAAAAATTCCTTTTTGTTCGAGCCAACAGGTAAAAATTTCTTTTGAAATCTTTTCAATTTTTTTTCGTATGAAATTGAATAGTTTGCTATGCTGAACAATTATATGTAGCAGAAATCTCTGAACATTTTCCAGCATTCTTGCAATTAATTAAAATCAGTTCGTGGAAAAAAAATTGATTCATCTTTTGAATTCGCAACTTTCCCGATGATAATTTATTTCTTCTTTGCATTATTTTATATTTTGTGACAGACTTCCTAAATATCATGTGTTATTTTCCACGACTCTTTTTTGCTTACTTTTTAGTGGTAGTGATTATTTACTGCTAATTAAATTTACAAATCTTAGTCTAATAGGGAAAGTTTCACTTGAAATATTGAAATTCCTTTCTTTTAATGTGTGTGTGTGTGTGTGTGTGTGTGTGTGTGTGTGTGTGTGTGTGTGTGTGTGTGTGTGTATATATGTTGCAAAGATCGAAGACAAAGTGTTTTTAAATAATTTCATTATTGCTGATCAACATAAGCAGCATGTACAGATGTATTATTTATAGATAAAGAAGTGTGAAGGAGTGAAATGTAAAGGGAGTGAAGAGATGATGAAGCCCATCCCACTATCAAATTCTTTAAAATCTGAAGTGCGATTTAGCCGATGATATGTTGCTCAGTGTGCTATTCATGAAAAATTCACTAAATGTTTCACTGTTTTGCATCCACCTTATCTTTCGTTTAATAAGTTTTACTAAAAAGAATAGTGATCTAAGATTTCTATTTATGCCACCAATGACAATTAGCAGTCGAGATATCTTATTGTCTGAAGATCTTTAGCATGGATAATTGCACTCTCAGTTCATTAAACTTTAAAGCTCTTTTTTCATTTCTCAGATTTATCATTGGTCTTGGAATTAATTACCGAATAATATTAATTCATCTTTAGTCTTTCCAATTACTTTTTCAAGAAAATAATTGTTGATGAATTTTTTAGATTGTCCTTAAGCGTTTGATCCAATATTATACAAAACCCCGAAAGCAAGCCCCGAAAACTTCTAGATCTATCATATTGACAGTTAATAATAGTATTAACTCGCTTACAGTTACATTTTCATTTATTCCATTAAATTTAGATCCTTCTTTTAATATTATTTTGTTTGTTGTATTTCCATAAAAGATATAAAAAGTGCTGCATATATTCATTGCAATAATTTCAAAATGAGATTTTGCTTAAGGAACTCAAAAAGATGATACATCGCTAATATCAAGTGTGATGTCATAAATTTCTGCATGACCTCTCTGGAGAAGTCAAAATTTTGCAAGCAGAAAATCAATTCAGGAAGGAATCTAGAAAATATCTCTTTAGGTGCTGAGAAAAAGAATAAAAGAAAAGATGATTATTACTAGGTACGATCTACGCATTATACCTATGCATCTGCACCGAAGAATCTCTGTCATATTATTATGATGCACGGGAAAGGGAAGATGTCCCGAAATTATTCCTTCAATTATAATATCATCCTTGCCGAGAATGCAGTGGTACAAAGGCGCCACGCTATCATCTTAGCTTTGTGCTACCTTTCTTTCTTCCACTATCACTGGCTTCTCAACTATCTCAAAATATGGAAGCACAGTTTTGCATCAGTTTTTTGACTTACCATCAAACCAGCTTATTCCTTCCTTTCTTTCGTTTTGTATTTTTTAAATTCTTTTTTTACGCTAACTTTCCGATTAGATACAATTAATTTCATTTACAGATTTGATGAAGTTTGATCTGAAACATACTAGACAAGGAATTTTGTTCGCATATTTTAAGAATGTGAATGATTCAACCCTTATGCAAATTGGAACTTCGAACCAATAAGAAAATCTGAATCATTCAGCACTCAAAAATTATCTTGAGATACAGAGGAGGAGTAGGTGCTTAGATAAATTGAAATTGCTACACCTGGATAAAATTTACTTCATAATGAGAAATAGGGTACACAGAAAGAAGAATGTAGATCAGAATTTTATCGAAATCTTAACACAGATTATATATTGTGCTTGAATTAACTTTAATTTTAAGCTTAGTTAAGGGGACATTAGGGAAGTGATTTCAAAAATTTTTCGAAAGGACAGATATAATCAATGATATTTATTTTATTTAAATACGTATAAATATATATTTTAAAGTGCAAATGAACTAAGCCAGAAATAATTGTAACTTTCTGTTTGATCGAAAGACAACTGAACACTATGCAACTAATTATACAGGTAAGCAAATTTTTGATAACAATATGGCAAGGATGAAAGTTTTTTGAATTTTCTGCGTTTTTTATTTTCATTTTTTATCTTCTTCCTTTGTAAAAAATTGGACAAACACACAAAGGTACTCTTTTTAGTCTCATCTATATGATATAACCCTGTGAGACCAGTAACTCTTCCTTTATTCTGGAAATTTCAGTTTCATTCGATTAAGGTATTTCGATTTTCTGCTTCACTTCCCAAACTGAACACTTTGTCCCACTCATCGTAGTACTCCAGTATTGCACTATGACTTAATTATGAAGCTTTTAATTTATTTTTTCAGCATAAAAAACGGGAAATAATATTGAAGGGAAGAAGTGTTTGCAGGTGCAAAATTGACGTAAAAAATCGGTATCACACGTGGGATAAGAAAAAGAATCCGAAAAATAATACTTCTATTTCCACTTCAATAAATCTTTCTCATTGCTTTTTTCACAAGACATTTTTTTTTTTTTTTTGTTTCGTTTTTGTCAGACTTAACTTCTAAAGAAAAGAATCAAAGCATTTTGTTGCTGTTTATGTTAATTAGAATTCAATTTAGTAACTGTAATGAATATATACTTATAATGAAGTTAGAAATTATTCACTTCATATGAATGCTTCATACTGTGGAGCACATTTTTCATTTTGTCCAGAACCATTTCAATTTTCCTTAACTTTTTCTTCTCCAAAAATAAAGGAATTGAAAAGTACTTGAATTTTGGAATGTAAGAAACATTTCAAAATCTAAAATTCGACAACAACTTCAATAAGAAATATTATTCTTTTTTACTGTTAATGCAGACTATTTGCTTATGGACACTCACCGAAATCTGTGGACGTTGTATTGACAGCTTTACTACCACATTATTTGATAACCATTAATCGAAGTAATCATGCTAATAATAATAATAATAATATTGAATTACAGCAGAAATTGTTGAATTTTGAGCGCAGCAAAGTAATAGTTAAGTAGCAAAGTTTGGATGCAGTGATTTGTGTACTCATCTCTATCCTGCACAGAGTTGTTTTTAAATTTGTTGCTTATAACTCATTTAATTATTCCATTGTTATTATTGTTTGTCAGGTACATGATTTTAATGACAATTGGAAGGAAGAGTTAAAGTTGTAATTAAAAGTTTAAATTGAATTTTTTCTGAAATAATATGCTTAATTGAAGTTGTGATTGTTTCGTAAAGTGTCTACTTGTTGCAGGATAAAAATGATAAACGATAAAATGGATGAACTGAAAAGAATTGCCTTCTATTTTTATATTAGCATAGGAATTCGAAGTACGATCTGAATCAAAGCTCTTTACTATCATTTCTCAAATACGAATGATTTATCGCCAAATGAATCTTTTACTATTTATTTCGAATTTCTTCCTCACAAAATCCTTACAATATTCAATCAAACAAAAGTATTACTGTAAAATTTTGGAGTGTGAATACATATAGCATTTCAGCATCTTGTTAGCCTTACATTGCTTACAAAACTGTGTAATGTTATTAATGGTATACCTGGTACACCTCGCTTATTTCTACTACTACTATTACAATGCTACTACTACTGCTACTGCTGTTGAAATGAATTTAGTTTGCTGAAATTAATTAGTAAATTTTCTTATCACACTACGCTGCGACAACAGATATTGCATTTTGCATGAAGTGATAAACAAGTGATGACAGATCCTGTATCTTCCCAAAATTATATATAAATTATAGTAATCAAAGTTTGATGTAATTTCCATGGAATAGATGAGATGAAAACTAAGCACAAATTGTTTTGTCAACTATTTTGTTGACGATGAGTCACTTGATTAACAGTTCTGATTGTATGATTTGCAGGCAATTGTTCCTGGTGGTGATATGTAGTGTGATGAATACAGCATTATTTGTTGTGATAAGTATATTAGCAAAGTGATAACGAAGTAGCGTCAAAAAGAAGAGAGAGAGACAGAAATGTAAGCTGAAATGGGCTAAAATAAGAATGCAAACGAAATAGGATGGGATGAATCTTCAGCAGAAATGAAAAGATGAGAGCACCTGTAAAATTACTGCAAAATTTTACGAGCAATAAATCAAGCGGTGTAAACTTTTCGCCCTCCAAGATAGAACAGTAGAAGTTAGTATTATGTTTTGAACATAGATTTTCAGCTTTTTGTGATCTCGTAATCGTCACAGACAACACAACTGAAATGACGTGGAAGGTAAAGTTAAAATATATCTTAAGTATTTTCAAGATTAACCGTCACTGACGTATGTAGCTATAAAAAGCATCAGATAGATGAACATGAAAAGAATGCAGACAAGTTCCATTTCAATAAAAAGTTAAAACCTTGGCTATAATTTGGCCGATATGTAGAAGTTACTTAAATAATTTGTAAGTTCTTCGAATGCTACTAGTTTACCTCCTTTTTTTATTTCTCCCTATTAATGATTTAATTACAAGGAATGCTTCCTGATCCTTAAATATTCAGTCGAAATACTGTTTGTTCGTTAACTTTCAACTGCTCAGTAAAATGCTTCCGTGCTCGTCCCTTTATCATTGTTACAAGGTTTTTCAGCCTTAATTATTCATGTTTTATCACCAACATTATGGTGATATCATGATATTGATGGTGTGATAACGTCCTGACGCTAGCAATATGGTAACGCTTTGATTTTGACAATTTTCATTACTCACCAAATTTTGAAACCCACTTTTCTGCTTCATTTCTCGAAAACCTCCTGTTTGTTTGTGTATTAATTTCTACTTTTCAAATTTAGCCACTTAAAAGAATGTCAAATATCCCAAGTTTTTTTTATTTTGCACAAATGTTATTCAGTAACCGTAATTCTCACTTTTCTCTCTGAAGTATTCTATGCTTTCCATCGTTTTCTAATACATACTGTCTTTTATAAAATAGAAATTTCGTTTCGAAGACAACTTTAATTTTCAGAAGTTCCAGCATTATTCTTTTTGACGAAAAAGATAAGAAAATTGATGAGAAGTATACACTTCGTTTCTGAAATAGTCGATTTCCTTGTTTAATGACATATTTATTAGAAACTGATATAGTAAATGGATGATTCATTTAATATTTCTGCTTGAATATTTTGGTAAGGTTTACTATCAGTTATACATTACATTGCATCAGAAATGGATCTTTCGGCACCTCCAAATGTCTTATTTTTAATACAAATAAAGAAGTGTAACTGCGTTTATAATTTCATCCACTCATCAATTCATACACATATGCTTTATATCAAACTTATCAAAAAACATTCTTTTTTTCACTTTTTTTGACAAGAAGAAAGTGAATTTTGATGGATTTTGATCACAAAATAATGTCATCTAAATTAATGATTCTGAATGATCGCACTATCCATTATCAGATTATCTTTGCATCATTAAATATTTTTTGCATGTTGAATATGTGCTATAGTCATTTGTCATACTTTACGTTTTGGTCTAAGATAGAACTCTTATAATGGCGAAATTAATTTTTTTCATTTGTTTACTTTTTGTGAAACAAGTTGAATAGAGAGTTTAAATGATAATAGAATATGAAATGTCAAAACGATCTGCTGAAAATTAAAATGTGTTCCTTAATATCAACGCTGATTTCTCAATTATCTGATAAAAAATATGAATCATCGTAAGTATTGCTCTTGTCTGTTCTTTCATTTACTATTACATCGTTATTTGTAATCAGAAATTCGACTGAGTTTCTTTCATGTTTCGTGTTCCTTAGGTTCTTCTTGAGAAGAGTCAGGTCTGATTTAAAAATATTTTCTTGATAATCATTAATTATTTTGATGAATACAGCAGTAAGAATCTTTTCGAAAAGTTATTTCAAAAATAATCTTATTTTGTTTGAGATTCATGTTTCAAAAACAATCAGTAAGGTCAAAAAATGCAGAGAGAGATAAAGAGAGAGAGAGAGAGAGAGAGAGAACATAGATGAACACAGACTAAAGTGACAATCTATTCGTTAGTCATAATTTAAAGAAAAAGAACTTTAAGTTGCTTTCAAGTCTCTACAACGTTCTACAATGCTTTATTTTTGTGCTAACCTTTTAACTAATCTTTTAACATAAAGTTTCATTTTATTATTAACGCAGAAAGACATACCTCACTCTTCTTTTTTCTTTTACAATTTAGTGAGATTCCTAGTTCGGAAAGAGAGTACATATATATATATGTACCTTAGTTAGATTTAAGTAGTCTTAATTATTATTAATCTTTTGCTAATAAAAATATAATTAATTTTTTAAACAGATTTGCTTGCTCCGTGTTATATATTGCATGATCGTTATTTCATCCCTTGTAAATTTTTTTAAATTTAAAAATAGTGGATTAAATGGTGATTTTATTCTCTGATCTTTAGGTACTCAATTAATTGATTAATTGCTTACTTAGAAAAAATTTATTCCTCTGAATATTTGATGCATTTATGAGACGATCGTTTTTAAGGTTTACTAAATTAAATAGCCTACTATATAGATTGCAATCGAAACTTTAAATTCACATAACTTTTTTCGTTTGATATCGAATTAATTATTTTGCTGTAATTTTAATCTCTTTTAATTCAATTAATATTATAGAGCAGTCCAGTATAAAAAGCTTAGTAGTGCCATACAATATAATTCCATTTCGAAGAAAGCCAAATAGTTCTGCGACAGGGAAAGCGGAAAATATCTGTGGTATCGCCATACAACTGTTAGCATTCAACGTTTTTCTATTTTGAATAATTTGAATATCAATAAGTATTGTATGGTCCAGAAGTATTAAAAGAACAATACGTTACTGTTCAAAAGGTCAGTTTTACATACAAATATTAAGTGTAATAAGTCACTTTTGTGCTTTCATTAACACCGTTCACTTTTTTCACAAAATTTTTCAAGGATGAAATTGAATATGCTTAGTCCATAACGGTAATAACCATTCATCGCCATTAATCTCTTTAATATTTTTGTTTTTCTATAAAAATCAGAAAGAGAGCTTGAATACAAGCTGGCAAAATCTTTTAACACTTCTTAACTTAGAAAAGTGCTTTTGCCTTTATTCATTTGATCACAAATTGTTTTTAATTTCAGCAAAACAATGGCGCTTGGCCTGATTGTGTGGCCCATACTTCGGGCCATATTAGTACTGTTGTTTGCGCCGTCAATACTAAGTCAAACACCTCTTGAGTTAAGTGAAGGAAGAGGTTCGGATAATTATATTCAGAGCTTATCTGGCGATCTGCGCATGGAAGATATTATGCACCAAATTAATCGTCTCAAACGAGCGACGAAGAGTTAGTTGTTGAATTTATGTAAAAACAAATAACTCAATAATTCGATAGTTGATTCCATCTCTCTTAATGATTTAATTATGTTTTTCTCTTTCATTTTCTGTCATTTCCATTGACTTTTCTTATTTTTGAATGCTCTATTTCTAGATCTCGAGACTGAAGAAAGTTCCAGCATTTTGCAAATTAGCCCATCACATTTTTTTTCAAAACAACCTTCGACTTCAAATTTGAGAAAGTTTTCAAAAAAAAAAAAAAAAAAACCTCATAATATTAATTTCAACAACCTATGGAACTGTCGTCTCATAATTAATGAAATATTAAATAGTCAAAAATTTTTTGACAAATTGCAAAAAGTGTATTGTTGTCATATTATTCTGATTTATTTTGAAAAGTGCAGAAATTCTCTACTCATCCATCTCGGATATATCAGCGCATGAGCTTAGTTACAATCTAAATTTTGATTTTTCGTTCTCACATTGAATCATTTCCTCATTAACTTGAAGAGAATAGCTTAACAGCTGAATTGTACTTACAGTTGGCCTGAGAGCATACAGTTGACGACGTATCCCCAAATAATGCCTTTATTCCTCAGTTACATTACAAACGAAACTCTTACAAAAGTAAATATCTTTGAAATTAGTGCCTTATTTTTGCTGAAAGGACAGTATTTATAGTTACTAATCCTTTATCTTATTAAGTTCTATTATCAGTAACGGAATATTTTATATAGCTGTCCGGAAGGACTCGATAATTCGTTGATCATGCAGTACGTTTCCGGTAAAATACAACGGCCTGCATCACTTTCTATGGCGGGTTGAATTCTACTTACTCTTAATGCAATCCTTTGCTATGTAATTTTGAAAACAAAAGACTTTGGCAACACTTTTTAAAGAAACTTCCTGCTTTGATCAAGTAAAAAAAAAAAAAAAAAACTGATGATATTCATGTTTATGATTCAGTGAGAGAAAGACAATATAGCAATGCATTTAGAACATTTAGGACAGTTTAAATATAGCTCTTGCATAACCGTAAGATTTGAAGATAACTTAAAGTATGTTGATAGCCAGTTCGAGCATGTTGAAACGTGAAATTATACTTAAGTACGTGGAAAAGTGACTGGAAGAAAGCTCAGCTTAAAATAATGCTGCAGCAGTACTTGCTTTATGCCTTTTTCATTACTGCTATTTGCTAAAAACATGCTGAAAGCTTTTATAGCGAATAATACATTGACCGTTAGTCTTTTTTATTCTCCCCGAAGAAACTCTACAAATATGATTTGGCACATACCAGGCCATTTTCATTTAATTAAAAAAAAATGAATTGCTTTTTTTTTGCAAAATAGTACTAATTTCAATATTTTCCGATCTTATGCAAATCGGTTTACTAGCGTTGCAATTGCTGCAAATGCTATCATTTATTAATTTTGAACCTCTTTCATTGTAATTACATTCGAGGTTTGAGGCCTAAAAATAATTTGGCAACAAAAGCATTCTTAACTTTTTTGAATGTACAGGTTATCCTGGCAACATCATCAAAGAATGCGGCCTGCTGAGGAAAAGAGATTCTCGGAGAGGACCAGGTAAATAAGCGAGACAGTGAATGAAATGAACAAATTTTGTTTTGATTTAGAAATTTTCAGGCGATCAGCACTATGCGCTGACATTTTGATAAAAGAGTACTTCACAATTTCCTTTATTTTCCTCTTATGATAAAGCAAAGAAAGCTTTAAAAACATTCCTGTGGATCTGTTAATTCTTCAGTTTCATTTTGAACTAAATCCTTTCTTTTTGAAAGCTTTCATATTGGGCAGTTTCATTCCGGACTGATTGCCCAGTACAATTTCTCATCATTCCGATCTCACAGCACATTCCCTGCTCCACATTCGCTTTCAAATCAATATCTTTTGCCTGATACAATCATAATACAGCTTTTATGTTACCCATCTTTTATGTTACCCATCTCTGGTTGGTTCACGCTTCAACATTATCCACCTTTTTCTTTCCTGTGCTTATCACTGCATTCAGTTTGCATCTTTCCGGTCTCTCACATGTTTCTTGCACATACCCAATACAACAGGAACAAGAATTGCATGACTAGAAAAAGCCTTTTGGATAAAGTTCGATTCACTAGTAATATCTCTTTTTTGAATGTTTCGAACTTAAATTGTTATACGATGACTTGTATTTCAGCAATATTAAAAATCGAGACTTTGAATTTCCATTCAATTAACTGAGTTGTTATAACTTAAAAGTGACTTGAAGTAGCCAAGAATTTATCAAAATTAATGAAATCAAACAAATTCTCAGCCTCATAGAAATTTTTAAGCTTGCATAAATTGGAAATGAAGTACTTGGCAAATTCTAATATTCTCATTACTTCTTTCTTATTTAATCGTTGTTTGTAATCACAGAATAGTTTAAATGCTTTTTGGTTTTTAATGAAATGAGTAAAATTTGACTCAAATGAAATTTGAAATTTAATTGGATGAAAGAGATTTACTGAAAAAGATATCTAAAACACGATTGTTTCCGAAAAGTCATCCTAATCTTAAAACGAAGTCAAAATTTCACACTATTGACGTGTTTTCTATGAATCATAATGCAAATCTGGATAAAATAAAATTTTTGAAATCTTCCAAAGTCAGCTTATTACCGTACAGAACATTTTTATGATCATAAAAAATTTTTCTCTTGCAACTATACGTACTTATTAAAGGTCAATTAACGAGGCATGGTGTATAAGCTTGATCATGACTTTAATTTTACAAAATATGAATGTTTTTTTGAGAAAAACCGAATGGAATTTGCTTTGATCTAAGTAAAAAGTATTGCGTACCAGATCACAATAATTTTTAATCTGTTCTTAGGCAGATACACCTTAAAACTGTTCATGTCAGCTTCTTTTTATTTTGTTGATTGTTACCTAAAAATATTTGCACCACTGGTGGATTTGTTACAGCCATGATTAACTCTCGAATTTCCAACTTTAAAATTAATTCATCTTCGTGATCAAATTGTCAGATAATAGATTAAGCTGTAAAATGAGTCAATTAATAATCGTCATAACACATTTTTTTGAATTTTGAATTCAAAATCAGTGATTACAAAAAAGAGGGTGAATCAAAATGATATGGAATGAGAACACCTTCAGATTTTCCGAATTATCAGCAATCGAGTGTCGTTCTGTCAACGAACGACACTGGCCGATGTGTGGTCAGTGCTGACAAAGCTAGCCATTACTGCGGCGACATCGAAGGTTCGTGCCACCTGTCATACTAATTGAAGTCAACGCCTTTTTTCTAATCCAAAAATGAATAAGTTGAGAGAAAGAGAGGGAAAGAGAAATGAGACAAAAACATAATAATGGAAATTTTGTTAAACATAACATCCATCATTACTTGGTCATCTTCCTCCACTTATTACTTTGAGTATCCAATTAGATTATTCAGTTTATACAAGTTCTATTATTCAGAATGCTTATTAAGCCTACTTTCTAATATGTTGTAGTGTGGTACTATGAGGAAGAAATATCTCAAATTCTAGTAAAAAATCTGCACTCTTTTTTCTAAGGTGTAATGAATTAAGCTTAATCTTTTAATAATCTTTCAGATTATTAAATAGATGTTATCACGTGCAACCTCAAAAGCTCTTTTTCGACTTTTTATAAAATAAAAAAAAAAAATTAAAAGTAAAACTTCAACATAAAACCACACTAATTTGTTGCCAAGACTACTAAATAATAATAAAAAAATACTAAATATCAAATAATTGAAAGTGACACATATTCAGCGACATTATCACTTCACTTTCCTTTCATACCTCAGGTATTTTAATTCTTGATGCTCAAGTGGTCTCTCAAATAATTTGTAGAATTAAACATAATAAACTTTATCTGACGCATGGATAAGAATGTGTAAAATCCATTTGAGAATTTTCAGTTTTCGTATTGTATAAAACTTGTTATTATATCATTATATTATTCAATAGTTTAGTTTTTGCTAAATTTTTTTATATTCTTCAAAATTCCTACGGAGGATTGGAAAATTGGCGTTGCGTTGTATTGTATGATTGTGGTGTGTGCTCCGATTACCTTAAACAATAAAATTGTAATTTTATTTTTAAGTTTGTTCTCCTCAATTTTTTTCTTTTTGTGTATAATTCGAAAATTTGTGTCATAATGCTGTTGTTGTGAACTTTGACTTTCAGCTCACCTTTGTTGCAATTAGTTCGTTTTTTTTCTCATTCCTTGCATGATTTTGTCCGTGGGCTCGGGATTTTTATGCACTTAATTTTTATGATAATTTGGGAAAATATTTAAGAAAATTTTATGAAATCTAATTTGAGAAAATTTAAGAAAATCGAAACTGTAACTGAGGAAAATTTTAATGAGGAATATCACTTTTTGTATTTATAAGCGCTGTAACTTTTATTTGTAATTTTTAAAAGTGTTTATGGAAAAATTTCATTTTTATGTCAACTTTTTCATTCAGAGTTTTTTTTTTTTTTTTTTTTTTGAGCGTAGCAAACAACCAGAAAAGTGAATTCTAAATTAAGTGCATTTTAATCTTTTTCGATTTAACATCCAAAAAATATGTCGTATAACTCTCAAATGCTGAACAAAAGAGCAAACATGACTTTCAGTTTAATTTATAAAACTTCTCTGTATTTATCCGCACTGAAAAATTTAAAATTTCTGCTATTTAGTGGTTGTGGCCTATGTTATCGTTTGCATTCTTTAGTAGATCAGATAGGTTCGGCTTCTTCTGGCTGCGTACTGTTTCGCATCAGTGGAAGAAGACATTCATGTCACTTCTTCAATATTTGTGCATGTTTGAGGTGGAATAGAAGTTCATAATTTTTACTTATTATTCTATTTTTCACTTGTGAAAACTGCATGCATGCATGCTTATCAAGTTTGTAACAGCATGAAATTAAAAAATTTAGAGCATGTCTTGCATAGATCTGTTTAAGGCATTTCAATAAGGCATTACCGCTTGCAACGATTTAGAGAATTTCAATTCATCCAGTTTCAAGAACATCACAACAAGAATATCATGTGATAAATTCTGACCTTTCATTTTGATAAAAAGAAAAAGATAAATTCTGACATATCCAATGCATTTAAATTCACTTTCCTGAATTTTCATAGTAGTTGGGAAATTTTTTTAATCTTCTAATAACAAATCAGAAAAAGATGCTGAATTTGCAAGCGGTGCATGCTTATCGTCATGAATCAAGCTATTTCTGCAGCTATTAACTATTAAATCCAGGAATACGTGACTTCATAAATTTTACAGTGACAGCACCGCCATTTCCTCCTCCCGAAGCTGGTCAATGTCATTTTTCAAGTGAAAGTAGTCGTGAGATTTGTTGGCCAAGATATGAGGACTTGGACACGACCTGCACAGATGTAGGAAATGGTATGGTCTCGGCACCCGCTGTCAAACATGCTGCGTTAGTTGAATTTTTGTTTATACTAAATATCAAACAACCAAGACACACTTTCACTACTTCGGTAGGTCAACCTACTGAAAAATTACTTTGCTTGAGACGATTACTTGAGACTGACTGCTTAGCTTCCGCTGCTGTCAATTAATATAATTTTCTCACTTACATTGTAGTATTCGTGCTATGGCATTCGTACCGCCAGATAATCTCCGGCGTCTTGTACGACAGTATTACCGACAAAAAGGTTTATCTGTTCCACGAAATACAACATTTAGTAAGAATTCATTCTTATTTGCATTATATGAATGCGATGACGGATACGAATTTGTGGATGAGGTGAACTCTATGTTTTGTATCAACCGTCACTGGGTTATAACACCACCAAAATGTCGCGGAAAAGGTAGTTTTGGACTTTGAAGATTAATTACAAATTCGATATTGAAGGGTTAATTTATTTGAGTGATGAAGTATGTCAGAATATTCGCCGTGTCACAACAAAAGTTCTTTTTATATAATTTATAGCGGATTTATAAAATATGAAGTAAGCAAAATAATTAATGTAGTAAATCATTTTGTTCCTTTTCAACCATCTTCGAAGCCACCAATCCTGAAATCTCATTGTTCATCACTTCTCCAAATTTCACTTATAAATTTCTCTCTCCCTTCGCATTTAGTTGTAGTGTCAAGGACATTTAATTTTTTTGTTTTGAAGGTATGTGTGAAATAGATAACGGTGGATGTAGTCATTCTTGTCTATCAATTGAAGACCGAATAGAATGTCGCTGTCCACATGGACTGGTTCTTGGTAGCGATCAGAAAACTTGCATCAGTAAGACTTCTCATTCTCACTGGGAAAAATCCCTAATTTTTTTTAAAAATGCTTTTATTAATGCATTATAGAAAAAGCATCCCGCAGTCGTTGCTTATAATAAATCCGAAAAGCAACGAATTACATCCGGAAGAAATACTATCAGAATCTAATAAATTCAGTGCAACACTTTTAGTATTAAGATTCTTTCAGAACCGATCCCGAAGAATTTATGCCGCATTCTTAACAGTTGTTCATGTACCGCTATTAATGAAAATCAGTATTCATGCACCTGTCCAAAAGGAGAAAAATGCTTGCGTAAGAATCTAATTCCTTTCAAAAAATTGGACACTTAAAACAATAGTTTAGCATATAGTACTTGCATATTGGAAACAAACTGAATTTTGTGACAAAGACCATATTTATCGTGTCAGTTTACTATTAAATTAAGCAGAAAAAATATATGTTGTATGCATATAAGTAAATAATTGAAAATACAAATTATACGAATCGAATTTGATTTTTCTACGGAAATTGCAATTCAGTGCTTCGCGGTCGGCCAAAAATTTATATTGAACCAGCAGCACCGTATGAAATAACTCCGGGCGGAAATTTAAACATTACATGCTCAGCAGTTTCACATCCATTTCCGCAAATTTTTTGGCAACGGTCAGCCATAGTTTTCATTCACTCACAGAATATAAAAATGTCAATTCTGAAATAAGCTTTTGCTATTAATTTTTAAAGTTCAGTTTTACCTTTTTTTTGATAAAAAATCTCAGTTCATCTAACAAAAAACATATCGGCTTATTTAAACTTTCTTAGAATATAAAATAACTAAGTGTTAAGTATCTCTGTATCGCAACATCACATTGTTTTTCATTTTTATAGAGGTGATGAAGCAGTTGATATTGCACCTGTTAAACCAGGAACTGTTCGAAGTGAGCAAATTCTGATCATCAAAGAGCTCTACAAAAACACCCAATTCACTTGTCATGCCAATAATTCACTTGGAAAGACGGAGCGCACAATCGAAATTGTTGTCACTGGTAGGTTTCCTTTATCATTTCATTCAACTTAGTGCAGTCTTATCCTGATCTCGACGACATAAAATGCTGCATTGTAAGAGAAGTTCACATTGCTGATAGTTTCTTGAGCTGTAAATTTATCAAAAATATTAAATATAATCATTATATCATGCTCTGAAATTATTATTTCATTCTGACAAATAACTCTCGCCATTTGAACACCGCTGATAGTAGCGAGTTCTGGAGATTTTTCACCTAAAGTAAAAGTTTTGACAGTACAATTTCTTCCTTGCTCTTTTTACACTTTATTTTTTAAGCTTCATCCTTCATCACAGCTTTGGAAATATGTATGGTATGTTTTTCTATTAGTTCAATTTATTTAATAATTTGTTAATGCAGGTCCCGGGTCAGCACCAATAATTCGCGGTATTGATGCTGGTCGTTCATCAGTTTCTGTTCGTTGGGATCCACCAGTAATTGTGAATAGACCAGTAACTTCATATACAGTTTATTATACAAATAATGGTAATCAGCCAATCAAAAACTGGAAGAAAGTAAATGTTGAAGGTAAATTGTTTACAGTTGTATTGAAGTTATTTGTATAAAACTACAAGATATGAAATAAATATTACTAAACATGTTAGACGATATCAATTGTTTATCAAGTGTAGTGGGAGTACTAGCTTTTGAAGAATTTAGTGATTTAAAAGGTTTTGTATTTGTTTCTTTCTTTTATACATAGAACCAGATCGTGAGGTAACGATCAAGGATCTTCGGCCAAATACGCAATACTTTATCCGCTTACGGGCTAACGATAAACTAGGCCCAGGACGTCTCTCAAATCCAATTTCGCTTAACACACGTAGACCAGGTAAATTGAAAAAACATGTTAGACACTTAAAACAACTTAAATATGAGCAAATTGAAAATTTCAAACTTTGTCTATCAATTTAAGCTCCTATTACTCGATTCATCTTGGATTCTTATTATTATTACTTTTTTTATTTAGATAAACCAAATATTTTTTACAGTTATGGCAATTAATGACTTAATAAATAGTAGATGAATTAAGTGAACCGATTTGACGATTGAAATTGTAGAGATCCTTAGCGTCATAAATCATTCATGCAAATACTACATGAATGATCTGTTGATCTTTGATGATAACTCTTAACATTCATTAGATTCAATTGAGACAAATGATTATTATTTTCAGGTAGATTTGTTCAAATAATGAATAGCAGAAGATTTAAAATTAGATGTAACACTTTAGATTTTTAGCAGTACGCCCACAGCTGTTCATTCAAGAAGGTGATACGATATACGTCGGACCATTAAAGAGGTTCAGCATCAGTTGTAATGTAACACGCGGAGATCCATCACCTAAAATTGCTTGGTATACGAGGTACATCAATTGTGTTGAAGTGGTATTAACCGAATTATAGATAGATTAAAAAATGTATATAGATAGAAAGTAGATTTAAAAATATAGATGAGAAATTATAGATAAATTAAAAAATGGAGCAAATAAAACTTTCTGATTATTTAATTATTTTAGTTTAAGAAAATACAGGTTTGGGATAAAAAAATCTACTGCTTTTAAAACTTCAGAACAATCTTAAATAAGAATCTTTTATTCTTCACATTTTTTAAAATTTAACGAGAAATCGATATTAGCTTATTTTATAGAGCTCGACCAATCAATAAATCGCAGAGGAAAAAATTTATAACAATGGAGCACGGCGGTCTATATGAAAGTACAAATTTCTCATGTGTTGCTGAAAACGATGCTGGTCGAACAACAAAAAGAATACAAGTCATTGTAACTGGTAATATGTTTTTTTTTTAAGTTAAGTTGGCACAAGGAGTTCAAGTGAATACTTGCGTGCTGAATAGTAGTGGTATGTTTTATGTTATTGCTTAATTAGTTATTGTATAGGACCGACATCTCCCGAACGGATACGATATCAAATTCATGGCAATAATGTTGATTTGCAGTGGGAACCACCGCGTATTACAAATGGACAATTGAAAGATTATGATGTCAGTATTTTTATAACGATGTATAAAAATTATCTTCAAAATTGCATGTTTACGAATGATATTCGAATCAAATGGAAAATATAAGCCTATTTGTGCTCGGCTAATTTATTTGAAAATATAGAGCAAGTCTTTTCAGCTCAACAATAAGTAGGGATTGCAGGTGTTATACACAGACAATCCGAAATTGTCAGATGAATATTGGGAAGTTGTAAAAACTGGAAATCCAGATGTACGTTCTTTGCGGATATCGAATTTGAAAGAAAAAAGAGACTACACGTTCAAAATACGAGCACACAATGAATTGGGTCCCGGCCTTTTCAGCAATCAGTTTACTCTAACAACTTGGCTTGCAGGTTTGTGAATCTTTATTCCACTTTATTGTTATAAATTTTTATCATTTCCAACTAATAGAACTAAAAAATAAAAAACGAAGATATTGACTGGAAAGAAGATTTAGTTCATGAATTGTAGCTCGTCCGCCAATTGTAACAATCACGCCTGCTGAAAAGGTAGTGAAAGATCCAAGCAATGAGGAACTCATTTTTGAGTGTGAAGCGATTGGTGTGCCGAGACCAAAGATACTTTGGCTATGGAGTGGTGGTTTGGTCGAAGATGGGAAGGTTAGTTTTTGATTTCATCCGTTTTAACACAATTATCACAAAGAATGCGGGCCAGTACCGATATCTTTCCGCTTCAACTCGCACAGTGAATTTTGCAGAATGAATTTCGTATTTATGATGTGACACCACCAGACGCGCAAAATCGATCTAACAGCAAGCTAATTGCTGAGAAGACAAATCGGGCTGGAGTAGCCACATGTCAAGCTGTCAATCCTCATGGTTTGTTGTTTTTTCAGTGTAACAAGTGTTATGAAAATTCCTTTAAACCAATCAATAATCTGTTTTATAGACGATTTATTGTTTTTGAGAATTCCTGAAAACTAATGTTATAACATAATTTATGTCAATAATTTTGGCATAATATCATTAATATATCGTCTTTTGATAGGTTCGGATGAAAAACATACTGAAGTGAAAATTGTTGGACCTGGAAGTCCACCTCGCGATATCTCAACAATTCCATTTACAAATGATTTTAAAGTCTCTTGGAATCCACCAAAATATCCAAATGGAAAAATTATAGTAAGCATGTAACTTCCTTCTTCCAATATCCAGAAATTTCGAAAAATTTATAATGTAAAACAAATCCTGCGCTTGGTTAAATAATTCTCTGAAAAAATCTGCAAAACTTGTACAAGAGATTGGGAGATCGATCGACAGAATATTAACATGTTGATGCTCTATTTTAAACAGTGGAAATAGCTCAGTTAGTTATGCATTTTAGCGTTATATTATTTACTACACGAAGAATCCGGATGACCTATTGGGAGATTGGGAAAAAACAGCTGTAAGTGGTGATCAGCTGGAGGTAACTGTATCAGCTGATGAGGATACCCCATACAATGTGCGGGTACAAGCTGTTACTAAGGACGGTCCTGGTATCATATCAGAAGCGTATGATGTCACTACTGGCAAGAAACGTTAGTTTTTAGCATGAGTAAAATTTCATGTGCGGCACACCTAAACAGTAAATTTGTGGGAGATTTCAGGTAACTATTAATTTTAATCTTTTTTTTTTCAAGCTGCAAGCAATCAATATGATGCAAGAAAATAGCAACTAAGTTGTTTATTATAAGTACAGTTAAGATAAATGCGATACTTAATATTTTTACAATGTACTAGCTGACTACAAAAAATTTTTAATACCTGTATTCATTTTTCAGCAGTTCCGCTTTCTGTAAAACTGGTTATATTGGATCCTCAAGTAGAGGACGGTAGTACGGAGACAGTTATTGAGCCGCTAAAGACAATTATATTTAAGTGTGATGCAAAAGGAAGACCAGCACCTCAAATTTCATACACTTGGCTTCCATTCAATGAAACTGAAAGCGGGCAGGTGTGCTTGTGATACAGTGTGTTGATAGTGTGCTTGCGTATTCAAACACACTCACTGTTTTTTTTTTTTTTTTCACAGTCTTGACATAGTATGAAGAAACATGCAACACCTAAAAAAGTGCGCATCGTATTCTAGTAAATATATATATGGTTCTTCATTTATAATTCAAAATAAAATAAACAAAAACTAGGATTTGTGAAAGCTTTTATAGGAACCAATATCAATCCCAGCTTATTCTGATCCACAAGAAGCCCACCGGTACCATTCATTGGATGTGAACACTAACACGGCTACTAAGCGTGCGCTAATGTGCAATGCTCGAAATATTGATGGTTCCGAAAGCGACCAGCACATTTTCAATGTCCTCAGTGTGTTTTTCCATATGCATAAATACTCTAAGGAATTTAAATGAAATTTTAGTTCTTCATATTAGAATTAAGGCTATTGAGAGTTGTTAGTATACAACTGTTAGTGGATAAAATGAGGACATAAAGTTTAGAAATTAAACTGTGTATGAAAATATTTCAGAACCAGGCAGCCCACCAGAAAATATTCAAGCAATCATTGATCTGGATAATCGTGTCACAATGTCGTGGCAAGAACCGAAATATCCTAATGGACCTATTGTAGTTGGTGTAGTTTAATATTACAATGCAATTCTTGGCCAATCTAAAATTGCTTTTAAATATTTGCAAAATTAAAATGCCTGTTAGCAGCCATTGGGATTTGATTTCAATTACAGATGAAATTTTTTCAAAATTGCAAGTCGCTATAGCTGTTAATTAAACAAATTTTAAGCCCCCGTAACCATTTTTAAAAAAGACGACAATTTGTGAACTTTATAGAAGAAGCTGGTTTCAACGGAATCTTTTTTTTTTTTTATAATATTTAAAAAGAATTTTTCTGGAATAATTCGAATCAGTTCGACTTTTCCTTAGAAATATAAAGTGTATTTGACATCTGATCCGAGTGAACCGATCAATCACTGGAACATTTATGATGTTGAACCGAGTGAAGAACCACGTCTGGTCTTGGAACGTGGTAAATTGCAGCCAGAAACACCGTATTATATAAAAGTTGCAGCAGTCGGTGAAAAAGGCGAAGGTTTACAATCTGATATCATTCTCTTCGAAACAGTCAGTGGAGGTAGGTTGTTTCTGACCGTATTGTGTAAATTTTTTTCTTTTATCCTTCCCAATTCAGAATCATTCCTACCACTACAGGAAGATGGCAGGGGACTTTCGAAACTTAATCCTTAATTAAACTTACCAATTTGGACAATTAAAAGGAAATCCTGTATTATTTCTCATTTAATTCGAGTTTTTCAGCACCAATCGATGAACCTAAGGATGTACTAGCAACAGTGGAACGGGATAATACTATGGATATATCTTGGACAGGACCAAGTGTTCCTAACGGTCCCATTCAGGCAAGTTTGATTGAACTGTTTGAGTATAACATTTATTAATGTTTCAGAATAACTAATAAGATCTCATCTTGAATAAAACGTACTAATATAAACAAAAAAATACTAATTAAACAATTTCTAGGCTTATACGGTCTACTTCACTCCGTTGGATCAGTATCAAACATCTGATGATGCATACAAACAGTGGGATAAAATTGTTGTTCAAAGTAGCGAAAATTTTGGAACCTTACGCTTGAACAAAGATATATATGATATTCTGCCCAATAAATTATACCGAATTCGGGTATCTGCAACTAATGATCTGTCAGAGGGTCCGGCAAGTGAACCTATAACAATCAGAACCGAAAGTGGAGGTCAGACTACTAGAGTATGAGAGAGTTTATACTTTTCCAGTTCCAATATTTTTATGGGTTATATTTTTATTCAAATAGGAAATTTGAATACATCAAATTCCTATTTAGAAAAAAATTTCATCTCTTTTTTGATCTCAAAGAAAGTTACCTGCTTTAGAAACACCTCCGGTAATACATCTGGAACCGATTGATAATCCGCTTACCGTAGCACCGTATGGTTCGATATCTGTGCGATGCACTGCAACAGGAATACCGCCACCTATCATCATGTGGATTATTGGTACAAATGCTAGTGATGTCATACGAGGACCAATTCTTCAGTTAACCAATCTCCGAAAAGATGAAACTGTAACTTGTAAGGCTGAAAATAATGCTGGACAAGCTCAGGAAGTGTTGCAAATACTTGTAGCCGGTTAGTTCTTATATTTTAATTTGATTAAATATGTCAACACACAAAAAATGTCGCAAATAAAAATCAAGTATAAATTTAATTTGAACAGCTAATTTTTTCTATTTCTCCAGACTTTCATGTATCGGGTCATTGATATTGAGCCCCGTGTTTTTTTCATTCACTCAACTCTTATTCATTTGAGGACCTGGAACTCCACCAAATGAGATTGTCGCTTTTCCTCTAGAAAATCAACAAGCAAGCATAGAATGGACAACGCCTGACAGTCCGAACGGGAGAATTACGGATTACATTATTCATTACGGAGAAGTTTTTGATGGTTAGTAACGAATTACGTTAGCTTTGCAGAATTACACAATTCCAACCTTCATTTTAGACAATGTCATCTTCATATGATAACCATGGGACTTAACTCTTTCATGTAACACGATCGTGTTTTGTTTATTTTTACCATACGATTCAACCAGGATATTTTTAAAAATTTTTGAAACATTTCAAATTTGAATTTTATGCAAGGCACTCATTAGTTCTGGCTTTACAGGAGAAGCTCTTCCACGTGCCTGGGAAACTGTACATGTGTCGGCTGAGGAACCCCAAAAGCACCGTCTTGTTGGATTAAAACCAAAAACTAGTTATGCGATTCGATTGCAAGCGATGAGTGATCGTGGACCGGGTGTTTTATCTGATCCGATCAAAATAACAACGCTACCATTAGGTTATACCGGGAATATATTTGATTAAACTCTCAAGTTTTTCAAAATTGTGGATAATTGAATAATTATTTAAGAACTTTATTTTATCTTTTTATTAATTGAAAATTTAAATTTAGCGCCTGCTATTGTTCAACTATCTGATATAAAAGTCCATGAAAATAATACGGTCGCTATCCAGTTTGATGCACCAAGAGATCCCGAAGATCCAGGAAAACCCATCAAGGTTCATATAGTAATAAAGAAATAAAATGAGAACTTTTTTCTTTCGTGAAAAAAAAAAACTTTAATAAAATCTTATTAACATCAGCAATATGATAATTGAATACATCATCATTTAAAACTATTTTTAGTTGTCTTGCCATGTTAATTACAATTTATTTTTACGTTTAATTTCCTCAGTTTGTTTTGATTAAGTACATTCTTCTCCTATATGATTGTACAGTTACTTTCGATTCACAGAAATGGACTTAATATTCAAAATGAGAGTGTGAATATATTTAGGAATTTCTTATTCATTACACGGATGATGATCCATTGAGTGAAGATGCAGAATGGAAAGAAATGTTTTGGACGGAACCAGATGATGATTTTTCAGTTAGCATTCCTATCGGCGGCGAGCATTTCAAGCCTGACACCAAGTATTCAATAAAAGTTAGTGTGCTTCTATTCTGTCTAATTTGAAGATCGCAAAATATGTCAAATAAGAGAAGTAGGTTTTATGAAAGATTTTAATAAGATTTGATTAATTTAATTTATTTCAGTTAATAGCTCGCGGTGAAATCGATAGCCCACCGTCGGAACCGATTGTTTTTCAGACCGGAGATGGAAGTTTGTGTTTAACTTATTAAAAGTAATTAAATCAGGTCAAAGGAAGTGCAAATTAGAGAAGTGCAAAAAAAAAATTCAAACAAAGATGGTTAAGTCTAGAAGAAGATAAATAAGAAGCTGTAAAATTCTTCAGCTATAAACCTTCTGATTTTTCGAACTCCGTTTCTTTCTGAGTTTCTCTTATCATATATTTTCCGGGTTTGGAGTAGAGCAATTTTGATTGCACTACTCAGTCATTCCAATCTATGTCATAGCTTAGTATCGGTAGCATTTTTGTCAAATTAATTATGCGAAACACATTCCAGTTGTACCACCGGAGAAACCACAAATCAATGTTGATGCACCAGATGACGTGATACGTGTACCAGCTGGTAGCGATTATACTGTTGGCTGTTCATCAGTCGGATTTCCTATTCCAAGAATTTTCTGGGTTAATAAGAATGAGCAGGCAAATCATACATTTTCTTTCTTCTTCCCTTGCTTTCTTTCCAATTCCTTCTCATTTTTAAATACAATCAAAAACATGCATATAGTGAAGGAACAGAACTTCACTAAAATTTGAAAAGAAAAGGTCTAATAGTTCAGCAGTTACATATTATTATGGTAGGAGCGAATATAAATTTATTGTTCCCTTTAGACCGTTAAAAAAAATTAAAATCGACTTTAGCTCATATGGGATTGCTATCTCTATTTAAAGTCCTGAATTTTGAGATATATTGAAATTAGTTTTAAAATGAAATTGTTTATGATAAAATACACTACATTACTTTGCAAACCCTTCAGTGTCTATTTAAATAATAAGTTAGTGATATTTTTTAGAAAATCTCAACTCAAAAAAATGTCATTTTATGAAAAATTGCCGCCAATTTTTCTGATTTATTTTCTGAAAGCATTTCTTCAGCCTCTCAGTGATGGACCGATGCTAAGATTGCAAGATGTGAAGGAGACCGTAAAAGCAAAATGTGTTGCGGAAAATGAAGGTGGACGAACTGAAACGCCTTTTGAAATTTTTGTTACTGGTTTGTAGATTTCTTTTCTGTTATTGTCAGGGTTAGCGTACAGAACAGCTTCAGCACTTTTATTTGGAATTCTTATATACTTCATGTTAAAGACGCTTTGAGATTTAAAAGTTCTTGTTTCATCTTGTCATAATTGATCAAAGTTTAAGGTCCTGGGAATGCTCCAAGTAACATTCGCTTGAATTCAGTAAGACCACGTACAATTCATATTGATTGGGATCCGCCAACCATACCCAATGGAAACATTACTCGTTATATTATTTATTATACTCCATTGGATGATCAGGTCAAGTTTATTTTGCAAAACTTTAAATAAAGTTTGGAAAAGAAATTAAAATTTGCAGTTAGATGATGAGCTATATTTATATGTTGGCATCTAACACTTGATTTCTTGTAAGCAATGCATATCATTTGCTTATTTTTAGAATATAGTTTATCAAATGGGACAAATCCCGAAAAAACCAATAACTGAATGGATGACGTCCCATAAAGATAGCGAGCCACTAATTGGCGTGTCACAAAGAGCCGACCTAATAGATTTTGTTGAACCTGATACTGCTTATGCTGTAGTACTACAAGCTGTCAATCAGGATGGACCTGGGCCGTATTCTGAACAGCATACCATCCGAACGATGTCACGAGGTTTGAATTAACTTTCTAATGCTTCTGAGAAATGAGAAAAAATCGGAAACGGAAAACTCATTTGTTTTTAAGTACTGTATGTACCCACAAACTCAATGAGGTGAATCACATCTCCTGATGAACGGCTGAACTGCTTAGTTTAAAATGTCTTCTTAGAAGATTTAAGCAGATATCCAATATCTAGGAATTTCAATAACAAAATTGGAAAGGGAAAAAAAGAAAATCCAAAACATGCCACCACTTATTTTTACTATTTTAGCTCGAGAGGGTCCACCACTTGATCTAAAGGTTGAACCTGAAGGTCAGCGATCGGCAAATGTTGAATGGCACAGGCCAATTACTAGCGAACAGTTACCAATTGGCTATGAATTATATTACATTAAAGCAGACGCTAAAATCTGGGAAGACGATTTAGCTAGCATCGATGACTGGTATGCCTTTCGATCGAGGAAAATTATGAGAAAACATAAATTTTTGTGAGTTAGGTCTTCTGAAATAGGTTCTTTTGTGGTCAGCATGTTTAAAATCAAAGGGATGACATATCAAGTATGAATGGATTATGCGACAAATTAAATTGATAAATGGAATGCAGAAACAAGTGGAATTAATACAAACTTGAAATAACTGATGAGATATTCCTTTCAGAAGCAGTTTTTTAATCTGTCTTTTCAGACAACCTCCGATTGGTAACTTTTGACTTGACCTACATTAATTTTAATTTTATCATCAAGAAGCATACTTGGGAAATGATAAGCCATTAGCCGTTCAGACGAGTTACATATGATAACAATAAGGCAATTAAAAAGTGATAGATAAGTTGTGAGTGGTGAGGGTAAATAACTTATTTTCTGAAGGTGTAATACAGTTCTATTTTCTCTTCTTCTCCAGAAATTATAACTACTTCTATCAGTTTTTGTTAAGCCACATTTATCTGATGTTGACCTTAATTGGTCCATTAATTTTGTAAACAATGACAAGCCAAATTAATTATTACATAAATTTTATGTGCTTTTGCTTGTAGGAGCATGATATCAATAACAGAAAAAGATGAAGATAGATTGTACTATAAGATTGATGGATCGCTTGAACCAGACACAGAGTACGTGTTTCGGATGCGTGCTGTTTATCCAGATGGGCCGGGAGTATTCTCCGATGCTTGTATTACCAAAACACTACCAGACGGTTTATGTTTACATGTTTTTATCTGAACCACCTACAGTTGCATGCTAATTTGTCAATAACAGCAGTAAATAGCCATTAAGAGCAAACTAATAATTCATTGAATAAACTGGAAAGAAAAAGCTGGAAAAAGTAGGAATTAAAATAAAATGATAAGAGCAAAAACAATATTTAACAGTCACTTTAACATTATACGAGCATGAGTTTCTGAGTCTATCAAACAAACATGCTTTCAGGTAATGCCCCGTATATTCTCATTTCGAACGGTGACCACGGAGTAGAAGGTAAAACAGAAATAACGATCCTTCCGGGTTCAGCACTCGACCTCTCATGTAATGCAACAGGACAGCCTCGTCCAGCAGTTAAATGGATCCGCTCCGGATATTACCCTATTGATCCTGCTTGGGTTTCGTGTTTTGAAAATTGCAACTTTTTCAAATCATTTTTGAATAGATCAAATTGATAAAATCAATGTTTATTAATTCCTGCATTATGTTTCGTGGTAATAGAGTAACTGAAAATCGAACATATTCTCGAAATCAATTCTGATGTCAGACCCTAGAGTAGTCGTATTCAGCAGATAATCAGTGTAAGAATGGTACAAATCTTTTATGCATGTCGAAGATACACACTGATGATGTCTTCACTATTTACTTACTGCTTCTAAGCATTATCCTATGCTGCTTAACCATTACCACCTTAAAAGCGGAAGAAAATACAACCACTTTTATGATCATAAGCATAATATCTTCTAAATATTCAGAAATTTTTAGTGGCCTATTACAATTTATTTGGGTTTGCGTATTGAATTTGACCACTTTTTAAGTGAATTATTTTCATCTTACTTTTTAGAAAACGTATTATAAATTCCAGGCATATTTAGGTAAAAGCAGACGAGAAATACGCTATATGGTTTCTGAAAGTATCTAATATTACCGAAGATACGTCATTCAATTGTGTTGCCCAAAGTCCGCTTGGTTTTGCCAATTGGACCATTAGTGTTCGTCTTGTTTCAGGTGGAATATATAATTGTCTAATCTTTCGAGTTGTACAATCTTGAGCATTAACTGTGTCTTTAATCAAAGTTTTAAAGTTAGCAATAAATTTGAATTACTCATTTAGACTAAATCTTAAAATTTTTTAAAACTATACTAGCTTTGCAATGATCTAGCTCATTATCCGAAGGAGAATTTTAGCCGCCTTTAATGAAGTGGCATTGATGAAGACAATTTCTATCCGAACGAATGTCAAACAACTGTCAGATTTTTATAGATCTTCGACCAACTTGGAAAAATGATTTCTTAGTTGCGAAGAATGAGGACGGTGAAGTGGCAGTACACTTTACAAACGATCTACCGGATTATCTTAAGGGATCGGTAAACATTTATCTAAATAGAATTTTAATCCACAGCGAAAGGCTTTTTTCTTGAATTTTTTTTTATTTCACAAACTCTTGAGCAGAACATAAACGAGATTTACGAGATTCTAGCAAAACCCTTGGAATATCTACTGGACTGACAATCCATCAAAACCTTTCGAAACTTGGAATTTAATTCCATCTAACGGGCGTCCCTTAGATCGTATAGCTATCCCAGAAATGGAACCTGGTGCTAAGTATCACTTGGTGATCGAGCAGCCATCTGCTGGGATCAAAACACCGGTCTTCGACATCATGACTCCAAGTAATTTTTTGTCTTATATGAGTTCTTTGAATGATAAATCAAAAAAATATACAAAAATGCAGAAGAAAATGTAAACAGAATATTTTGTTTCAAAAGTCTGGGTTTCCTATATCTTCTTCCAGTTACTTTAAGCCCAGTAAGTTGAACTTTATATTTTCAAAAAAGCAGCTTGTGTCATTGCAAAAATGCAAGTTATAATAAGGAATTTTATTGCTTATCGGAAATTCCAGAGGCAGCTAGCGACATACGCGTTGGAACTGATATTAACGGCGAAACAGTGCTAGATTTCAAGCCAGCACTTGCTACGGAACCTATCAAGGTAATTAATTGTGCTACAATGGAAGGGAAGTTGGATGGTTTCAGATTTCGTTTTTTTGAAAAATTGCAGTCTTTGTGTGCATGACATACCTCTCTATTAAGCTTTCCTCCTGCAACTTTTTATATGTTCTACTTTGTCAAATTTTGAGCAGATATGACTCACATCTTCAGTTCATTGAAAATTTCAGAAATACATTATCAAATACTGGCCGGATAGCAATCCATCGGCTGTGATGTACATGGAAACACCAGTCAATGTTACCGATAAGATTGTGCTAGATGGCTTGCAGCCTGAAATTGACTATAATTTTATGGTAAACGTTTGGCCATCTTCAACTGTCCTTCTCAAAAAAATAATGATTACTCATGTAAAGGCATAACTTCAATTTTTTGAAACGAATTTCAAGTTAATTAAATATGAATTAAGGTTACTGCAAAGTTTGACGACGGCGACAATCTTGCAAGTGAACCAACTAAAATACGTACACCTTCCGAAGGTGTGTCACTTTTTCTTCCTTGTGAAATGTTTTTCATATGTCATATCTTCCGAAAATGTAAAACATTTTAAGTTTAATGGATATAAAAATTGAGTTCGTGTTTTTATTGATCCTAAACTTTTTAAAGCTAAGATGATAAGTTTCAAACCGCAGGTAACTCTTTTATATTTTACTTCAAAAGTATTGTAGATATCCAGTGCCACTGTGCACATGCCTGCATGTTTGAAGAAGATGAGGAAGGAATGATAATAGCATCATGCTATTGTCATAATGGTTTTAAACTTGCTGATGATAAGAAATCATGTGAACCTATAGAAGAAGATGAGGAAGGGAGCATTGTGCAGGTAACTCTTTTATATTTTACTTCAAAAGTCTGAAAATTTTGAACTTATGTAAAATCTTCATCAGATGCAGAATTCTGGTAATAAACGGCTAAACATTTTAATGATTATGAAGAATAATTTAATGATTAACAATTTAAATTTATCAGAAATATTTCTTAGAATCAATTTATTTTGAGATTTGCGAAAATCACAGTACAGTAGCATTTTGTTTACAATCCGATTCTCTTATCTAAAAGTCATTTAAAACGTTTTTTTTCAAATTCCTAGAGTAATCAATTCCGAAAAATTAAACATTCCAGGTTACTCCACCAACACTGATTCCTGAATCTGAGCATCCGAAGGAACTGACCACCATGCCAACTCTTTTTAATGATTTATTATCAAAGTCGGAGAAATTTGATAAGGAGATGGAAATTTTGGAACCAAAGGAGCTTGCAAAAATCAAGCCGTCACAAACCGATGAATTCGGACGAACTATTTGGCAGGATGAACAACTGGTAACTACGAGTAGAGAATCGGTTAGTGATGGTTTTTCCCTAGTATCAACCGATTCTAGTCAGCAAGATCGTGTTTTGTCGCCAGTTGTTGGCTTTGATGGTGCGCCCTTGCCTACGGATGAATACGGTCGCGCAGTGGATAATCTCAGAAATCCAATTATCTGGGACAATGAAGGCCGCCCGATAGGCCCAAATGGTATTCCTTTACGTCGCAACTACAAAGGAGAATACATATATCCAGTTATTGGAAAAAATGGACAGCCGTTGCCCACTGACATTAACATGAAACCCATTTATCCCATAGTTGGACCAGATAATAAGCCGTTTCGGAAAAACCAGGAAGGTATGCATATCGATCAGTATGGTCAAATAATCCCAACAGATACCTCTGGACGTCCAATTAGTGTTGATGGGTCACCTTATCCAACTGACGAATACGGTCGATACATTGTGGATTCGGAAAACGTCATTCAACAAGTTGTACCAACGGATGAACTTGGACGTGTTATCTATCCTGTTTTTTATCCAGATGGAATATTGCTAGCAACAGTAGACGATGGTCGATTTGTTAACGAACATGGACACCTCATTCCAACCAATGATGCCGGATTGCCAGTTAATGAAAAAGACGAAGTGTTACCGAAGGATTCTGAAGGGAATTTTGTTTATGTAGGCAATTACATTTTACCGACTGATTCTAATGGACAACCTGTAAAGGTACAATATAATGGGAGGTTTCTTAAGAGCGACAAAATGGGACACATTATTGGTCCTAGTGGGCAGTTAGTGGTAGTCAATGATTACGGATATCCAATCGACGAGTCTAACACTGTGTTTTCAACTACTTCTGATGGCATATTTGTATTACCAGTAACTGATGGAAAGGGTATGGTAGTTCCAGGAACGGAACAAAAAAAAGGAGTAAAACGACCTCTTAATATTGTCGGACCTAATGGCCATTTGCTACCGACTATGGAAGATGGTACTGTTTTAGATCCTTTTGGAAAGACCATACCAACGAATAATATTGGGGAACCAGTAAATTATCGTAATGAACCGTTACCAACTAATAGTGAAGGACAGGCTATTTATCCAAAGGATGGTTTGGACTGCCCACTACCTCCAACAGACCGACATGGAAGACCAGTTTATTCAGTGGTCGGACCAGATGGTAGGCTACTTCCTCGAAAACATGACGGGGCTGCAATTGATCCAGATGGCAACCTACTTCCAACTAATGCAGCTGGAGTACCTGTCGACAGAAAAGGACGGCCTCTACCCAGCGATAGGAATGGTTCTATCATTTATCCAGCCAGAGGAATCAGTATTGAGCCCCTTCCAACAGATTCTAATGGAAAACCGGTATACCCAGTAATTGGACTTGACGGAAGATTATTACCGACAAATAAAGACGCTAGAGTGATTGATGAGGATGGTAGGCCTCTGCCAACAAATGCTGCTGGCGTTCCGGTCAATGAACAAGGCGAACCACTTCCATTCGATCAAAATGGTTACATTAGATATCCGGCAGTAGAAAGACAGGGAAAATCTGCATATATCATTATCGGGACAGATGGAGAACCATTACCAAGAAATGGAGATGGATTAATTATTGGTCCAGATAATAAGCCAGTGCCAACTGACGCTTCTGGATACCCAGTGGATCATCGTGGAAGACCTTTACCTCAAGACAGAAGTGGTAATATCATTTATCCTGCCAATGGTATAGATGCTGAACCGATGCCAACTGACCGAAATGGTAGACCAATGTACTTGGTTATAGGACCGGATGGCCAGTTGCTTCCGAAAGATAGTAATGACGTTGTAATAGATATTGACGGACGACCCATTCCGACGAATGCTGCAGGAGTTCCATTGGACCACTATGGGAAACCACTATCCGTTGATCGGAATGGTTATGTTTTCTACCCGAAGGAAAGTTACGAATCTGTTAGAGCCGATGTACCGGTATACGCTATTTTAGGACCTGATGGAGTTCTATTGAAGCAGAATGCTGATGGCGCAATTGTGGATCCATATGGTAGGCCAATTCCAACAGATTCCAATGGATACCCCATTGATAATTATGGAAAACCTCTACTGCGAGATCACATGGGTAATTTTATATATCCAGCAGGAGATTTGGACGTAGGATCTGCACCAACTGATGCAAGTAAACGACCACAATACTTCGTAATCGGTCCGAATGGTGAAGTACTACCAAGAGGTTATAGTGGAGAGATACTAGATCCGTATGGCACACCAATCCCTACAAATGCTGTTGGTATTCCAATAAACAATCAAGGAGAACCATTGCCAAGAGATAGACAAGGCAATTTTATATATCCGGCAACTGGTTTGGATGTCAAATTATTGCCTACAGACAGATCTGGAAAAATTGTCTATCCTATTGCCGATTCTCATGGTGAATTTTTACCAACAAATGAAGATGGAGCATTCGTTGATAGTGATGGATCCCCAATACCAACCAATAGGTTTGGCTTACCTGTTGATGAACATGGGAAATCTTTGCCGAAAGATGTCAAAGGAAATTTCATTTTTGGTACTCCGATAAAGCCTACTGATCACAGCGGATTACCAGTATATCCGGTTATCGGTCCAGACGGAAGGTTGTTACCTCAGGATAAGGATGGTAATGTTGTTGATCCTGCCGGACGTCCGATTCCTACCAACGATGATGGTGTCCCAGTAGATAATAAAGGACGTCCTTTGCCAAGTGATAAAACTGGAGTTGTTATATTTCCTGCAAATGGTTTGGATGCTGAACCTATGCCTACAGACAAAAGTGGAAAACCAGTTTATTCAGTTATTGGACCTGATGGTCATCCGTTACCGATAACTGCTGATCACAATATTATTGGTCCTGATGGAAATATTGTGCCTGTGAATGCTGCTGGTGTACCAACCAATCATCGTGGTGAACCATTGCCAAGAGATAGACAAGGCAATTTTATATATCCGGCAACTGGTTTGGATGTCAAATTATTGCCTACAGACAGATCTGGAAAAATTGTCTATCCTATTGTCGATTCTCATGGTGAACCTTTGCCTACTAATGAAAATGGAGCATTCGTTAATAATGATGGATCTCCGATACCAACCAATAGGTTTGGCTTACCTGTTGATGAACATGGGAAATCTTTGCCGAAAGATGTCAAAGGAAATTTCATTTTTGGCACTCCGACAAAGCCTACTGATCATAGAGGATTACCACTATATCCGATTATTGGACCCAACGGTGAATTACTATCGACCGAGGAATCAGGCAATGTGATTGGGCCTGATGGACATGCAATTCCTGTCGACAATGAGGGTAGACCGATCAACAATCGTGGTGAAACGCTACCTTCTGATCGTTTTGGAAATTTTATATATCCGTTGGGAGGTCTCGATGCCGAATTGCTTCCCACCGATAGTAATGGACTACCTATTTATCGAGTGATAGACTCTGATGGACAAATGTTACCTACAAATGACAGAGGATTATCGATCAATGGTCAAGGGAAATCTTTGCCGACCAATGCGGCAGGAGTTCCAGTTGACGATCACGGAAAACCATTGCCTATTGATTCTAACGGCAATTTAATATATAAGAAAGATGCCCAGAAGTCCTTGTCTACTGACGAAGGGATCTATCCTGTAATTGGACCTGATGAAGAGCTGTTACCAGCTGACAAAATTGGTGTTGTTGACGGTCAACCGAGTCCAGCAGATGAAAGTGGAGTTTTAAATGGTATTGGTCGACCACTATCGGAGGATTTCAACAGCGAAGTAATTCGAACTAGATCAGATATTGAATCATTTCCAACGGATTCAAATGGTCGGCCAGTATATCCAGTAGTTGGACCAGGCCAAAAACTTTTACCAACAAATGAAGATGGAGCATTCGTTGATAGTAATGGATCCCCAATACCAACCAATAGGTTTGGCTTACCTGTTGATGAACATGGGAATTTTCTGCCTATAGATATCAAAGGAAATTTCATTTTTGGTACTCCGATAAAGCCTACTGATCACAGCGGATTACCAGTATATCCGGTTATCGGTCCAGACGGAAGGTTGTTACCTCAGGATAAGGATGGTAATGTTGTTGATCCTGCCGGACGTCCGATTCCTACCAACGATGATGGTGTCCCAGTAGATAATAAAGGACGTCCTTTGCCAAGTGATAAAACTGGAGTTGTTATATTTCCTGCAAATGGTTTGGATGCTGAACCTATGCCTACAGACAAAAGTGGAAAACCAGTTTATTCAGTTATTGGACCTGATGGTCATCCGTTACCGACAACTGCTGATCACAATATTATTGGTCCTGATGGAAATATTGTGCCTGTGAATGCTGCTGGTGTACCAACCAATCATCGTGGTGAACCATTGCCAAGAGATAGACAAGGCAATTTTATATATCCGGCAACTGGTTTGGATGTCAAATTATTGCCTACAGACAGATCTGGAAAAATTGTCTATCCTATTGTCGATTCTCATGGTGAATTTTTACCAACAAATGAAGATGGAGCATTCGTTGATAGTGATGGATCCCCAATACCAACCAATAGGTTTGGCTTACCTGTTGATGAACATGGGAAATCTTTGCCGAAAGATGTCAAAGGAAATTTCATTTTTGGTACTCCGATAAAGCCTACTGATCACAGCGGATTACCAGTATATCCGGTTATCGGTCCAGACGGAAGGTTGTTACCTCAGGATAAGGATGGTAATGTTGTTGATCCTGCCGGACGTCCGATTCCTACCAACGATGATGGTGTCCCAGTAGATAATAAAGGACGTCCTTTGCCAAGTGATAAAACTGGAGTTGTTATATTTCCTGCAAATGGTTTGGATGCTGAACCTATGCCTACAGACAAAAGTGGAAAACCAGTTTATTCAGTTATTGGACCTGATGGTCATCCGTTACCGATAACTGCTGATCACAATATTATTGGTCCTGATGGAAATATTGTGCCTGTGAATGCTGCTGGTGTACCAACCAATCATCGTGGTGAACCATTGCCAAGAGATAGACAAGGCAATTTTATATATCCGGCAACTGGTTTGGATGTCAAATTATTGCCTACAGACAGATCTGGAAAAATTGTCTATCCTATTGTCGATTCTCATGGTGAACCTTTGCCTACTAATGAAAATGGAGCATTCGTTAATAATGATGGATCTCCGATACCAACCAATAGGTTTGGCTTACCTGTTGATGAACATGGGAAATCTTTGCCGAAAGATGTCAAAGGAAATTTCATTTTTGGCACTCCGACAAAGCCTACTGATCATAGAGGATTACCACTATATCCGATTATTGGACCCAACGGTGAATTACTATCGACCGAGGAATCAGGCAATGTGATTGGGCCTGATGGACATGCAATTCCTGCCGACAATGAGGGTAGACCGATCAACAATCGTGGTGAAACGCTACCTTCTGATCGTTTTGGAAATTTTATATATCCGTTGGGAGGTCTCGATGCCGAATTGCTTCCCACCGATAGTAATGGACTACCTATTTATCGAGTGATAGACTCTGATGGACAAATGTTACCTACAAATGACAGAGGATTATCGATCAATGGTCAAGGGAAATCTTTGCCGACCAATGCGGCAGGAGTTCCAGTTGACGATCACGGAAAACCATTGCCTATTGATTCTAACGGCAATTTAATATATAAGAAAGATGCCCAGAAGTCCTTGTCTATTGACGAAGGGATCTATCCTGTAATTGGACCTGATGAAGAGCTGTTACCAGCTGACAAAATTGGTGTTGTTGACGGTCAACCGAGTCCAGCAGTTGAAAGTCCAGTACCAGTTTATCCGGTGATTGGTCCTAACGGAGAATTATTGCCAACTGCGGAGGGTGGTCTGGTCATCGGTTTAGATGGTAGCCCGCTATCAACAAATGCTGCTGGAAAACCTGTTGGACCAGATGCATCATTGCTGCCTACTGATGAAGTAGGTCGAGTCATACATCTGCCTCCTGAGGAACCGTTGTCGACATTTGCAACCAATGAGTATGGTCATATCGTTTATCCGATTGTAGATATGGCTGGTAAACCTTTGGATAAAGATGATACTGGCGCGCACATAACCAAAAATGGTATCCCAGTAGAACTAAATGAGAATTATCTTCCCGTTGACCCCGATGGCAATATTCTACCAACAGATTCGCAAGGAAATTACATTTTTCCTGATCTGGATGTTATGGGAAGAATACTGCCTACGGATAAGACCAGTCAAACATTATATCCACTAACTGGTCGAAATGGACAACTTGATACAGATTCAAATGGTGCTACTCCTCGACCGGATGGTGAGCTCGGAAAACCAGTAAGACCAGATGGTAAACCTCTTCCAACAGATGAAGAAGGACTCTTTATCCATACTGAAGTTTTTGGAACTCATCCTACGAAAAAGGTTGTTAATATCGAAGGTAGACCATTACCTACTGACGAACTTGGTCGCTATCTGCTAGCACCGAACCTCCCTGTTCGACAGGACGATTCTGGCAGATTGATCGGACCAGATGGTCAGCCACTTCCCACTGACGATTCTGGTAACTATGTCTATCGAGAGAAAATGAAATACCCGAGTGGTGCAGAAGATGATTTCGGGCATCCATTACCAACCAATGAGGACGGTTTTTATGTGCGAAGGAATGATTCAATGATTACAACAGAATCAGTAGGTCTAATGATGGATGGACAAGGTGTAATATTGCCTACTGACGAACGTGGCATCTTAATTGCTCCAGAACTTCCGACACAAACAAAATCATACCAGGTTTTAGATGAACAAAATCAAATACTACCAACTGATGAGGCTGGTAATTTCTTATATCATAATGGATATCCGATTGCTGAAAATGAAGAAGGAAAACCAATATCTCCAGATGGAATAGTATTACCTACCACTGACACAGGTTATTACGTTTTTGCTACTACACGACAGAAACCAATGATACCGTCACAAAAAGGTACCGATCATTATCCCCTACCAACTGACCAATTTGGAATGTCAATGAGTAGCGTGCAAAGTATTTATGGAATGGACGGCGAATTGTTACCAACTGACCGTCAACTAATTAATGAAGAAGGAGAAGAGGCGCGGCTAGGTGAAAAGGTCCGATTTTCAGAGCCAGCTGGAGGGATTCTTTCAACAGATGAATATGGTAAATATATTTATCCGGCATTAAAGCCAAATGGAAAGCTATATCCAACAGATCGAGGATATCGTCCAGTTTATCCGGTTATTGGATATGATGGCGAACTTTTGCCGACAAACGACGAAGGATTAGCACTTAATTTTGAAGGACATCCAATCCCGACTAATAATATTGGGCGACCGTTGGATGAAGACGGTATAATGTTGCCAATGGATTCTAAAGGAAATGTTGTTTATGACACTGGCAAAAAAAATTGTGATACGCATAGGGGCATTATGGATATTACGGTAGTAATTAACGTGGAAATCCTGGATCGTGATAGTTTCGATCATGTCAAGAAAGTAATTCAGAATTTAGTGATTGAACACTTCGATCTTTCGCCGGATGTAACACAGTTTGCGTTAGTCAAATACGCTGGAACTGCTGAGGTACCAATTACTTTGGGTGGTTATAACGAAAAAATGGAATTACTGGAAGAGTTAAGTCGAGTCAAAATTGATCATATCAAAGAGCATCCCAGACTGATTGTGGGAGTGAGTGCTGCCAAACAACAGTTCGCATCGTTTGGTCGCGAAGATGCTGGTAAGCTGATGATAGTGATAACTAATGGACAAGACATGTAAGTTATGTCATCTTTCAAGTTTTGCTTTCAACGTAAAATATCTCTTAAAAGTTCTCTTTAATGATGAATTTTGAAAAGTGTCACTTTTTTTTTTTTTTTTTTGTAGATAAAAAATAAGGAATAAGTTAAGAATAAGAAATAGAATCAAGTAAATATTTCTCCAATGTTTTAGATATTCGGAGGATCGCTTTAAAGACAACATTATTCCAATGCTTGTTGTTGGCAGTAAAGAATTTGAAGAAGAAATTAAAGACTGGACTAAATCATACATTTTGGTAGATTCTTGGAAACAACTGCATGCTGATTCTATTGCTAACATGATCGAAAAGGAATGCTTGCTCGGAAGAATTTTCATTCCAACAAAAAAAGTATCCTCAAGACCAAAATCTGAGAGATTCGAAGATTTTACTGGTTCATCACTTACAACTGATGAATTCGGTCGTATTGTGGTACTACCAACAAGTGAACGAGTGATCCTATCTACCGATGAATATGGTCACGTCGCATATTCTATAAAGGATACTTCTGGTAGACTTCTTCCCATAAATGGAAATGGTTTAGTGATGGATAGAGAGCTAGTCGAATCCGATTATAGTAAACCAATTGCTTCAAATAGAAGGCAATTGCCAACAGATGAATCTGAAGCACATATTTATTCCGCTGGTGGCAAAGACAAAGCTTTATCTCCTGATAGCAAAAAAGGATGGGATACAAGTATTGATGAGAAACCACTGTCTACTAATCAAGATGGTTTATCTTTGGACATCAATGGGCAGTCGATAGTCACAAATTTAGCTGGAAAATACAGTAGCCAAGGATCGCCGTATTCATTTAACGGCAATGACAACATCATCATGTCAAAAAGGACAGAAAAAATAACAGATGCAACTGATTATCCAGTTATCGATCCGGATAATATCTTATTGTCGAGGGATCCCTCAGACTTTTACATAAACAATATTGAACGGGTAGTTGAACGTGATGATAGTGGGAAACATCTTGGGTCTGTTGAGAACATGATGCCTAGTGATGCAGGAGGATTCACTTACAGAAAACATAGTCAGGGTGGTAAGCTTCCACGCAGTGATTCAAATATTTCAACCGCCAAAAACGATGGTTCTATTGTTGATACCAGTTTCCACAAAAGACTACCTTACACTCTAAGTAATAATAAAATGTCAGATGAACACAGTCAAGTCTCTTCCGAAGAACCAGAGGCTATTGCTGAAACTAGAAATTTTATCAATAATCAAAATAGTCCGTTACCAATCGAAGTAGATCAGGCCGGGAAGCCAGTTGTTAAAGTAGAACCTTTGCCTACTAATAAATATGGCGATTCAATATATGCAGGTGGTAGTATGGTATCTACAAGTGTTTCGGAACAAGCCATTGGTCCAGACGATTCCTTGATGCCAGTTGATTATCGTGGACGCGACGTATCTGATTACATACCAGATAGAACTGGTTTAGGGGAAACGAAACTTTTGGCAAAAGTCTCAACATGTAATAAAGTTGAAAAATCTGTAAACATCATTTTTATGGTGGAATCTTCAAATGCTACAGGGACCAATCTCAATAAAATTAAATTTTCATTGTTAAATTTTATTAAAAAGAATATTAATTGGAACATTGCTAAAGTCGGTATAGTTTCTTACGGAAGTACAATGAACGTTAATCTGAAAGTTGGAAATTATCAAAGCTATGATGATTTGAAAAAATCCATTCTTAGTTTGTCACTTATTGGTGGTTCATCATCTGGTGATGAACATGCATTCAGAACTGCTCTTCAGCTCTTCCGTGAAAAATATAACAATGATAGTGAAGAACTAATCATGCATGTCTTTAAGACTCCACTCAGGTTTGTTTAACCTGAATTGTTGACAACGTTATTTATATATTATTATCCTATCACATCAACGATCCATTCTTCTTTTCTCGCTGGCACAGTTCCTATACAAATAATGGATTTAACAATCAGCAGAAAGTTTTCTTCGATATAAAATATAAAATGAGTTTTAATTTTCAGTAAAGATGCTCAAATAATTGCTGATCATTTGAAAATGAATGAAACTATTTCAATCTTATCACTTGGATCAGATCAATGGTACCGATTGGAGAATGACAAAGAAATCAAGAAATTACGAAGCGATATGTGTTTACTGTTAATGAAAAGTCATCTCGCACGAACCAGGAAGCCTAGTGGTTAGTATATCTCATTAGTTCATCATTAATAACTTATCAGCACTGAGTCATACATCGGATATTTTGGTAGTCTAAGAATCAGTCGTATTTCCAATCACTGTATTAATTTTTAGTATTGACAAGCTTGGGTTATGATTTGCAATCATTGTTAAAGCAGAACTTTCTCTTACTTTCTTTGGTGGGATGTTATTTGCTCCGTCATGAAATTTTTTTTTCCGGTTTCTTATTCTTTTGACCCTGTCGGCTTGATTTGAATGTTCATAATGGCAGGAACAGAAATTGATGTTATTTGAGAAAATATGCTTGAAAATGGTGATCGATTTTTTACTTTGCTCTTAATTTGTTATATAACGCGTCATTTTCATTCTCAAGTGAATTGAAGATTGGAATGAAACCTGGTTTTCTAGGGTTAAAAAAAAAAAATGTTTTTCCAGAGATTTTATGCATTCGATGTTTGGCTCAAAGGGTGGGGTATTTGCTATTCATAATTTTTATTCCTCGATTGATTCATTTAGAAAATTTGTTCTGCATGATAATGACAATAAATGATGAAAGCGGCCTGTTGATTGGTTTTATTATAAAAGCGATTACGACAATACGAAAGGCTAAGTACTGTCGGAGGGTTAATCACGACGGTTTTCAATGGCAAATTTTTATTAAATCAGACTAAAAGAAAGAGAGAGATCATTTATAAGTTGACAAAAGCTTGCTATCTACTGGATCCATAGAGAATGTCTGTACTACTGAAAGCCTTTGAATCCAAAAATATGCAGGATATTTTTGTATGCAGGTCCCAATATTGAACAAAATGAAAACTTGTTTCGAGAGAAAAGCTGAGATGATTTATTCTACTAGAGGATTAACGGATAAGGATACTATATCAATCCGGTATACCAAGCAGATAGAATGCTGCTCTCAACGGATGCACAAAGAAATTAGCCGACGATGAATGACCAATCACTGCCTGCCAACAATGGTGAAGAGTCATGACAGCATCAATAAATAATTGTAACAACCTGTCAATGCCGATGGCTAGCAGCCAGCGACAGATGAGAATAGAATTTCCGTATCTTGCAAAGAAAAAAGGCCATTCCATCCTGTTATTAGTCCGGATGGCAAATTATTATCAACAGATCAATCTTAACGTCATTTTGATTCACGTAGTGAAAAACCAGTTACAGTTAATGAATGATACTGTGAGGTTTATGCAGACAACCAAACGGTAGTGACAATGTCAGAAATTTAATCTTGCCATCGGATCAGAATAGAAGCTGCTCCCGATCGATGATTTTATAGTTATATTTAATAAGTCAATTACGGCAAATAATGAAGGTTTTTAACGAATAGAAAGCTGTCATCTAAATGATGAATACAAACGACAATATTTTAACCCCTAGATAGGTCAAATCAACAAATGAAACAGATATACCGATAGATTTCTGTTAGAGAATCTGCGATGATCAGTTTATGTTCCTGCTTTATCCGTTAGAAACAGATGAATAACCTTTATCTAAAAAGGTCAGTATTTTTAAACATTTTTGACAGAAAATCATCAGTTAAATGTTTTCCAAGTAGTAAAAATGATATGGATAATGTTATTGTAGATTCGGATGGTGGAACAGTTCGCTCTGATCGATTTGGAAGACCATTGGATACTTATGCATTATCCTTGCCAACTGATAAACGAGAAGGCGTGGAAGTTTTGCCAACCAACGAAAGAGGTTACATCTACATTCGATTAGATCTAGTAGGAAACCATTACAGACAGGTTATTATAGCTCCTATTTAGGCCATTATGCGAAACAGATAAAAACAGTAAATGAGGATAAAACAATTGCCCCAGATGGTAAAATCATATCAGCAGATGGAGGAAAGCAGCATATTTATCAGACATTTGCTTCTGAAAATAGACATCGATCAACCAATAGTCATAGAAAGCTTATTTACCAAATATTTGGTGATGACAGAAGGATTCTTCCAACAGATCAAACTGATGCACGTTTCAAAGTGGATGGTAAATCAGGAGCAACTAATTTTTATGGAGAACCACTGAATAGCGAGCGAAGCTCAATTTTTTCAACTGATACGAGTGAGGGTTATCATATTTCAACCAAAAAACTGACCGAAAATAAAAGAAATAGCAGTCTCTTGTATCCAGCAACGGATTCAAATTTGAAGACTATTGCGGACACGTTCGTATCTGCAACTTCTGTTTCCTTGCCATTCTTGATCTTGTTCCCAGATGGTCGTCCATTATCTATCGGTGAAAATGGTGCTTATCTTGACGACAACGGACAGAGTTTGGTCCATATCGATCAAAGTGGCCATCCTATAATATCAGCTAACGGCACACCACTGCAGAAAATTGGTAATGGCAAATATCTCTATCCATATGAATCCCAAAAAGAAAAACCAACCTTTGCTAATGTTGGTGATGAGGATCATCTGTTGCGAACAGATTCTGGTGGTCGTCAAATACAATTAAATGATAGAGAACGATCTATTAATGGCTATGGTAGATCATCTCCGGAGGATGAACGTGGGAGCTATGTGGGAACGACATTAGCATATCATGCGTCAACATCTTCCGGGTGAGATAGTAATACTTGTATTGAATTTTTATTGGACTGAAACCTTTTTTATTTATTGAACTTGGTCAGTTATGAAAAGTAGTAGGATTGCAGATTTTACAGATTAATTCTGAGGTACTGAAAGTATAATATGAGTGCTGATAATAAATACAACAAATCATCCGTATGAGCATCTATCAATCAGAAATGTGCTAGTTACTTTAAAATAAAGTAATTTAAATTTGTTGGAGAATCGACACTTGGACCAGTCCATCATCATATTGTGTGGTCAGTTCAAATGTTGACATGTTACTTATTCTGGATTCATCGAGTAGTGTAAGAGTTGTTGATTATCGAATTATGAAGGATTTTATCAAAAAGTTTCTAACTAATCATTTCAACTTACAACGCAATTATGTTCGTGTCGGTGTAATGAAATACGGTGATAAGGTTAGTTACCCTAGACCTTAGACTTGTGAAAAAATTTTTTAAATCTTGAAAAATTTATTTTGCGTTGTTATATTCGTTATTCTTTTGCAAAATAATTTTGCTGTAAAAGTGGTATGTGTTTTTCAGATATATAATTTCAGGTTGAGATCCCGATATCACTGGGTGACTACAATAGTCAAACTGAGCTCCTATCAAGGATTAGTGAAACCAGGCGTATGCGTGGTAATGCTAATCTTGGTCAGGCTTTACTCGACGCTTCTGGAGAATTTCTAATTTTCGGTTCCAAGGATATTCCTCGCATCATCATTATATTTTCAAACGGGCGGTCTAGGTATTAATGCATGTTTTGATGCTCTTAGATATTAATCTTTAGCGATCAGTTTTTATCAATACTATTTCTAATAGGGTTTATCGAAAATAAAATTTATGACCGGTAGATAAATTCGAAGAGGTTGAACCAAGTTTATTCCAATTCTGGAAGAGAATCAAACTACCTATAGATTATGAAAGTATCATGAGATTGATTTTAGTGATTGAAAAAAACGCAATTTTTTTCCAGTTTTGTTTTTTCAATTTTGAATTTGCAGAGGTGAATTAAAAGAAAATGCTCTTCTATTACGGAATGATACAAAAGTTCATATATTCTTAGTGGATGTTGGGAATCAGGGTGACAAGGCACAAAATCTAGCCATTGTTGGTGAATCCAATCCACATCGGATTATTGCTATTGATGGATGGCATGGAATGCGTCCAGACATTCTGAATCCTTTTGTGAATGAATTATGCAAGGTTGGTAATGTTTATGAAAAGTTCATTCCAGAATTCTGTTTTTGTTCTTTTCTTGGCCCAGATAATACTCCAACTGCAAATGACCACTTTTTAACAGCGATTTTGAAGCTCTTATTTTTTTATACTGTTGCATTCTTTCTATAATGTCTTACTATTTCTGATGATTGTTATGAGCAGTGAAATAATGCCATTTGTCAGATATTTTAAATAAGACTTTTCAAATTTTTGAGTACTCGGATGAATATTCACTGTCAACTATCCTTTCAGCTACTGCCACAAAAGCAAGATAAAGCAAGTGGAGATAGTACTTGGCCAACAAGACAAACTGAAATGCGAATTGCAACTCCTATGCGTATTTGCAGTCGGGTTGATTTTCAGGTAGAAATCTTTGCTTGGAAATGAAATATTTAAATTTTCGCATTCACTTACATTGTAGGAGAATAGAAATATTGGTCACAGTCTATCCCTCGTTTGCATATTTCGTCTTCTTAAAAGTATCAGTTTAAGGCAGATATAATATTTGTCCTGGATTCCTCCGACAGTGTTACATCAAAAGAATACGTTAACTTGAAAGAAGATATAAGTATGTTGATTGACGACATATTCGATTTATCACCAGATATTGTTCGCATTGGCTTCATCGAATATAGGTACTAGATTTATAATATAATTCAAGAAGAGAAATGCACACACTATTATTCTTTCCAAATAACGAATACTTTTTTTTGGGATCAGTAATGTAAGTTTTTTCAGTTTGAATAATTTTCCTATAGCAAGTGAACATGAATTTCTGCATTTGAATGTACCAATTTTAATCCAAAATGATTTTAGAAATTAAATTATAATTTGCAACTGAATTTTTGCGTCAAATATTTACTTCTAATTTATCGACATCCAATGACCTGATTACATTTAATAATTACTTCTTTGCAATAGTCCAGGTATTTATCTTTGATTCAGGCATTAACTTGGAATTTGAGATTTGGTTCTGTGCAGTAAGACACTAATTAGATAAACACATTGATTTATTTTTTTTATTTATGGTTTCATTATTTTCAGTGATAAGGCGTCAGTTCCCGTACCACTTGGTTATTATGATAATAAAGTGCAACTTTTGGCAGATATATCAAATAGTGAACAGCTTGGTGGTACACCAGTCATTGTAAGAGGTCTTCACGCTGCTAAAGAACAGTTCAAGCGACATGGCCGGAATGGTGTTTCAAGAATTTTACTTTTGGTAACGAGTGGTGCTAACCGGTTCGTGTCTTTTAAAACCAATAACCTTTCACAAGAAAACACCAGATGAAAATAATTGATGTTTGTTGGCGCTTTTTTCATTCACATGACAATTTCGGCACTAATTGCAATAGCAATTTAAACAAACTATTATATTTATTGAGTAGCTCACATTCACATTTAACATGGTGTTTATAATCTATGAATCTTTGTTTTAAATTTCTTATGCAGATACTCTATTCAGTGGTCACACTTTTCAGTGGTAATGTAGCTACCGCAGCAGACGATCTTCGTAAGCGTCTGAAAGTGAGTGTCTTTGCGCTGGTCGTAAATACATCTCGGGGAGCCCAAATGATGCTGAATCGTTTGACGGGGGATGAACACACTCATCGACGAGTAATATCAATTTCTAGCGCAAGTAAATTACAAGAACGAGAGTTGCTACATATTGGACAAATACTCTGCGGTGATAGTGATGTAATCCCTGCTACCATTTGGCCAGCGCAGGAGACTCCACATCGAACTACAAAACGTGATGTTTCTTATGGTGAATCAAAGCGCAAGTAAGTTTTGTAGTGCAATCGATTTTCTTAATCTTAATCTGCTTATTTTCAATCACCAACACAGAACGATAACAAAAGACTTATTAAACTATAATACAGTTCCAACAGGCACCTACTTAAGGCTAAGTTTGATTTTGTCGTTGTCACTTAATTTACTAAAATGATTTTTGAAAACTTTGTCGATTAGGAAAGATAAAATATCTCGTTCGTCACTGCTGTATTGGAAAACAACAACCGCAACCGAACATGTTGCTCCCAAACCACTTTGCAAGGATGGTTTGTTACGCCCATATCAAATTTCAATCGTGGTTGACAACACCGCCAGATCGCCTGAGAAAGTAATGCAATTCTGTTTTAGGATAATTCGATTTTATGATTTATAACTTACATTCGTCCTCTTTCTTTTTGCTTTTGTTTTTCATAGCATGTATAAGTCTCACCAATATATACGTCTTTTAGGATTTCCGCCTAGTATTGAATCATATTGTTAGCTTTTTGAAAATGCGGTTTTCACCAGAAAGCAAACTTGTGCAATTAAATTTGGTAGGCGTTGGTAGTGATGGCACCAATTTAAAGGCAGCAGATTTTGGCGTTGATGTGGCGGATAAAATTTTCGCCAAACTGATACAAAAAAAGCGAGTTTTATTTGTAAAACCTTCGAATCCACATAAAAAGAAAAAAAGCTAAATTAAACTTCTATGGGATATGGCATTTCAACTTTATTTATTGCTTGATATAAATTTCTGAGCAATTTTACAGCTTAATTAATCTAATCCATACAAAACATTGCAGAAGTGATGAAATTTCTCCCAAACTTGGTCGAGGTCTTGATGAAGCAATGTTGTTAGCCAAGGAGCACGCTGTGAAAGGAGTCATTCAGATAATTCTGATCATTAGTGCTGATGGGACAAGCAGGTATTGCAAGCTTTTCTTGTCTTATTCATGCAATAAATGAAACTCTTCCTTCATCAAATGATATGAAGATATTGGTTGAGGATTTCTTTTTCTTCTCACCCTTCTAGTGATGACGCAATACAATCAGCGCAAAATGCAAGAGAACAGTATGTAGATGGCATTGTTGCAATCTCGATAAGGGCTCCGTCTAGCGAACTCTTGAAGGAATTATCATTGGGAAGTTCTACCAAGTCTGTTTTACAATTCTGTCCTAGTTTATTCAACTTCTACATTTCTTTCATTATAATTGTTTACTTTTTATTTTAAAAAATTGTTGATCAGGCATAATGATCAGCAATTTTGATCCAGTAACTTAAAACTTCAGAATATGAATTGGTGGTATTAAATCATATCAAAGTATAGACCATAAAGCTGTTGCGTACATTTGCATTAAACAATTGAATGACATTTTTTTTTTTTAAATGACTAAGAATGACATTTTTAAAAACAAAAACAACTGAATTTTGCAGAGTGATTCACTTCCCAGATTGGTCGATTGGAAATGAGTTATTCCAAAGCTGGATCTCTCATGCTTTTTGCAGTTATGTTTCTACATCAATAACAAGGAAGATTAAATTAACACGCATGACTCGACCACCAATTCGAAAGACATGTACTAATTAAAATTTAATATACCAATTAACTACTGTGATGATTAAATTACCAAAAAAAAGTTTATGTTGATTGTAATTCTTCTGTTCTTTTGTACTCCACCGATATGGATGGCTTTTGCATGTTTTGTGTAATTTTAGCAGAACTCCAAGTAAGCAGGAATTATGCTTACGCTTTGCCCATTTTATTTCCAAAAAATCCACGTATTTTAGCTTTTTTCCTTTCAGAGGCAAATCGAATATTACAATTACTTTTTTAGCAAAAATATCAATGAATGATGCGACCAACGTTGAAGTAACACCTTTAAGTCCAAATTCTCTACTGGTCTCATGGACTTGTTGTACAAATAACAAAGCAGTCAGTTGTCATCACTAATATTTATTTTTTTAATAAAAGTCTACGTAAGTAATGTAGTGCCTCTCATTTTCTGCAGTACTATTTTCTATAGTTCTCTTACTGTGAAAGGAAAATTGAAAATTCCTATTGGTATTTTGAGGAAAACTTCTAATTTATCAAATAGTACAAAATTCAAATCTTTCTTAACTGATCTGAAATTTCCAACCAGAAACAGGTGGAAAGTTTGATGTCAGAAACTCGGATTGTACTATTCAGGATTACATCATTTCGTATACTTCGGATTTATCATTGCCAAAAGAATATTGGCACAAATTGAATGCAACCTGTCGAGACAGCTTTGGAAGAAAAATTGATGGCTTACCATCCGGCACTTATTCTGTTTGTGTTGAGACATTACAACGGTACATCAACAAATCTGTTCCTTTTAATACGGACGAATGTGAAACTATAAAAATCGACAGTGGTGAATTACTTTATGTTGAAATTGAATAACAATCGAACTATACACTCAGCTTTTATTAGAGTTGTTTCTATTTTATTAGCGAAGAAAAAAAAAAGAGAAAAGGTTCAAAAAAGTTCATATTCAGAGAAAAAGCTCATGTAGTTTAGTTTCAATTGATGAATTTGAGATACTACTGCGCCACCGGACCAAAAGTTACCGAATAGCCAGTCGACAGTACAGTGTCAATGTATTTGTGCAAATAATGGAAAAGCCTTTGTAAAACCGACATGTGGAACACTAATGGATTCGTTCCGTCCAGTGGCTACCCTTCCACCGGCTATAGATGGTGAATGTCACTGTAGTATACCCTCGAAAGGCGGACGATGTCCTAGTGGATACTTCTTTGATCGTGGGCAGTGCTATGGTTAGTTATTCGCTCTAACAGACCATTCTTGACATAGGTTTTACATTTTTTATAGCAAACGGGGTTGAGATTTTTCTCTTTTAAATTAAAAATGCACAGTCGAATCTATACAGCATAAAAATGTAAAACCTATGAGCATAAAAAATTGTTATGAAAATGTTATGTAATGTTTTCATAAATTTCATAAAAGATGTTTCCATAAAAGATAAATTTTGAGTACTTTCTTGTCCTGATGTTAATATAATATTAACTGAAATAGATCTATTTAGATTATATATTTTGTAAAATACACTCTTTATCAGATTAATACTGAAATTTAGGTTTTAGCACTTGCCGTTCTTCAGGGTTGTAGTAAACTCCGTTGTGCTTGTATTAACTGAAATTGCTTGCTGTAGCATGCAACATTAATAGAAGTGTAATATGAGTTAATTTTAAGACGTAGATGAATGTGAACAACAAAATGGCGGCTGTTCGCATGGCTGCGTGAACACTCCTGGGGACTTTTACTGTGCATGTCCACATGGCATGATGCGTGACCCAGCAGATCTAAAAATGTGTATCAGTGTTGCGGGTAGTTTCGACCGGATCGTAGCGTTGTTCGGTCAGTATCTTCACGCAAACCAATATAATGCAAATGCTACCAGCAATGAAAAAAGTGATGCACAAACTGATGGAAAAGTAGTGAGATATAAGGTTAGTGATTGCTTGCTTTTGAGTCTTACGAGAGTAACAAATCTATGTTTTAAAATTTTCAGATGTTTTTAAGGATTTATGAATCGGAGATCTCATTTGCGTCTTTCAGATTGAAAACATAAGTGGTGAAAAACACTCAATCCATGCATTCCTTTAACGAAAATTATGAGAGAAGGCTATGTTTGATAGAAAGTTGAGCAATTAGGATGCAAATTAAGAAAGGTTTTTAAAAAGTCAATCGTAAGAAAAAAATAAGCAAGTTTCAAAGAAGTGAGGAATTATATGAACTGTACAAGCTGCTGAATTTTCAAGAAATGTAAGATGTTCAGTGTCAATCTTTACCTTTCAGTACTTTAAAATTACTGAAAATGAGAATGAAAATTGAAAATGAAAATTGTGATATTCTACTATCCAAAGGTTAATTTGCAACATATCAAAAGAAATGCGCACAGAATGATTACTTCTGATTAAAAAAATCAAAATTTTCTTCTGATAAGGCTTTTTTATTTCTTATTTATTGTTCGTTGTTGCCTTTTCACATTAGCTCCTCTTCATTAAAAAATTTTTTTTTCGTTTATTTAATTTCATCTGTTTTTTATCCATTTACTACTATTTTGCTAATTTTTTCGACTTCTTTTGGACGTCCAAAATTTGAATTCACACAATTTTAGGCAACAGTGAAATCAGAAGATGACAAAACGATCTCATTTGAATGGTCATTGATGCCAGCAGTTGTACGAAAGGCCTTCAAATGGCTATTTTGAAAATTTCCGAAAAAAAAGTTAAGCAGACTTTTGAATTTTCAAAAATCAAAATGAATTTTGTGTTTTTTGTTACTACCATTATCTTTACCATTCATTTAATATCAGAGTTGTATCACGTTTATCGATGTCATCGCTATTTTTATACATATTATCACTGTCCATCCAATAGCCCTTCTTTCTTGCTATTTAAATTTCTTTTTACATATACCACATATTTCTTTAATTTATTCTTAGTTTAAACGTACTCTTAAATAATTTTGGGTTTATGGAGCATGGAAGATTTTTCTGAAGTCTTTCTTAGTAAATCTGAAAAATTTTTTGCGTTATAACGCATGGAAAGAAATTCAGCCATAAGTCAGCTATACATTTGTGTATTATGCAGGTCACCTAATTGTATATACACGCATGTGATGCTGTGAATTCGTAGTATGTTTATCATTAGATCTCGATGAATAGCATTTTAATCATCTTTTTCTACTAACCCAAAGTTATCTATTATTCATTATCTTAGACATTTTCCGTACTCTTCATTATGCACTGTCATTTGTCTGACGTATATCGCTGTATTTTCTTTCTGCCTTCTTATAACAGTTATATCAAAAAAGAAGCAAACAACCACATTCTTTGGTGTATTTATGCTATTACCTTTTCACTAAATAATTAAGTAGAACTAAAATTACACTACCAATCATTATGGTCTGCTTATACCCTAAAATTATACCACTGATTATTCATAGATACCTTAAGTCGAAATAAACCTTTAATTGGTCCATAATCGTTACTAATTATGAAACAATGTCGAAATTTTTGTCCTCTTTTTTAAGATCTTCCAGAAGCTCATTGCACTGCTTAGCATCTTTACTGCCAAAAACTATGGTGATTGTCTGTGAGATCATTGTATATATTTTGCTTTTTTTTAAAAATAAGAGCCAATTGATGTCTGCTGGTAGACGAACTAGCAATAAAATATTCCTTTAAGCCAAGATGTTTTGCAAATGTTTTTGCTATGAGATAACGGCAAGGCATTACATTGTAGATGCGCATCATAAAATATATTTCCATATGAAGTTCAGTAGCCTCGAGCGAACACTTGGGTATTCCATTATTTCCACATCAGATATTTTATAATGACATAAGAGATAAGTTTTATTCATGTTGTACATAAAAATAAGCAGTTCCGCTCCATTATGAGGTGATAATGTCATCTGAAAATGGATAGCATTTGAGCGACAGAACTGGAAGGCTTTGTTATAAATTTGAAATATGTAATTGGAATAAGAAGGGTCTAATTTCATTTGCCCTGATATATAATATATTTATACGAAAAAGTGATATCCTACATATTCTGAAGAAGTGCTTCGCTAATGCTGGATCATTAAAATACTAAGTCACCAAATCGCAACTGGATCTCAAGGTTTCCTTCCTACTTGAAGCAAAACTTCTTAGACGCACAGTTTTCATAACGGCGCTGTAATGACTCCAAAACAGTTTGTTACCGTTTTTCATACTTCGTTACTTGTGATTTGTAGTTCAAGTGATTATTATTGCTACTGGGGTGTTTACTGTTGATCGATGCTATTTCAAACTGTTGCAAAGAAGAGACATTTTAGATTAAATGATCAGCACGGCAGTGGTGTCTTTTTTTTTCAGTGCTAATTTTTCATCAAGATACATTGTATTTTCATTCTCGAGCATTTTTCGTTATATTTATTTTTATCTTCTCATAACCATAAAGAGCGATGGAGGATACCGACAGCGATTCGTCTCGGAGTTCTACGCAGGAGTTTGGTTCTTCACACTTTAACGGTATCATTTTTGTTTGATCTTCTTTGTCCTATTGTCCGATTCCAGGTTCTTAAAAAGATGAAAAAAAAGATCATCCATCCATTTGCTTTGCTTTCATCAGCTGTAATTAACAGCCTTTGGTCCGATTTCAAAATAAGCTCTGTAGTGTTGGCTTTCTCCTAAATGATCTGATGAAAGTAATGCCGCTTGAAAATATTCGTTTGATTACACAGGCTTAAAATATTCCTTGTTTTTTCCTTCTTAACTAAGTTTTCAGTAATATAAAGAAATAATTGCTATGCCAAGACTCATTACGCATTCTTCACTTTATTTTTGCACATTTAATTCACCAAACTAATGGCATCAGAAATAAAGTTATAGATGAGGAGAGTTTGAGAACAGCTGTAAGCGACGATGACTGTGAAGATGAAAATCGTAATATTAATTTCCATTCGTCCGATGCGGATATTGAAGAATTCTACCAAAATCATCCTTGTGCTATCAATGAACGTAAGTTTTGAATTCCAGTAACTTTTTTCCAATTAAATTTTCCATTTGGTTTTGTTGATCTCAACAATTCATTTCTTTTTTGTTGCATTTGAGAAGTGGAGAATCTATTTTGATGGGGGAGAATTAAATTCAGGAAGTCCGTTTCAATGAGTCAGATGAATTTTCTGTTGGTTTATTTTTTTTAAACTTGATTAAACTTCGAAATGTTAAATATCCTTAGGATCAGATGTTACTTTCTGTTGCATAGCAATACAAAGCAACACATTTTGCAGCATGGTACATTCGTCATTCGAATTTGGTGGATCAGACAACTGATGCAGATGATGAATATGATGATTTTTCAGATGATGATTATAATTCGATTGTTGCTGGTATGTAGAGTCAGGCTGTGAACTTACTTTTGGTTGCTTTTCTGTGTACGAGATTGGCATACTGACATTACGTTTCATTAATTTAGATCGCAATGATGAGCCGTTTGTACCCCCATCAGAACGTGCTGATGCACCATTGTCAGGAATTTTACAAAATCCTGAACTTGATAAACTCGATCCAAAGTAATATTTTATAAATTCTATTGTAACACTGATTTTAAGGAATGTTTCGTTTTTTTCATTCTGTGGAATCACTTATTTCTAGTAATCATCGTTTTACCTTTAGGCAATTTTTCCCAGATTACTCACGCAACAAAATCTTGCGATTCTCTCGTCTTTTCGGGACTAACATCAAGTCTTCATCTAAAACAAGAATTTGGTGGCCATCAAAGACATTCCGACCAGACGTTATTTTTCGATACATTTTTTTGCCGCTGTTGTCTGTTTGACGGTTTTATTCTATTTCTTACTTATGTATAAATAATATTTATAAAATTCATCTTGCCTAAAAAACCAAACAAATTTTTGACCTCAATAAAAGTGGCACTTTTATAGAGTCCTAGACAAGAGGAAAGTGAAACAGTAGGAGCAGTAAGCGTGGAAGGGTCACAAGTGTTCAGAAAATCTACAGAAGTGAGTTCGTTTCTTATTATAAAAGTGTGTCCTATTAGCAGCGTAATTAGTACCGTAATGATGTCAGATTTTTTGGTTTTTTCTATTCTACTGATTTGAGCTCGCGGAAACATCGCAATCGACTGAAACTTATGGCACGAAGTTAATATTCGGGGATCCTCCAGCCCCGGAAGACTGTCTTATGGATGATGAGATTCTTTTAATGAAACCTTCATCTTCAACTGTATCGGCTAAAAATGGTGATGGCGATGAAGATGTGGATGATATATCACCGTGGAGGTTTTTTTTTAGAAAATCAATCAAATTGGCTTTATTTGCTATGCATACATCAGTTAAAAAGAAACGAATCTGATTTGATGAAATTTCAAGAGTTTTTCTGACTTGATAAGTTTCCAGCAATAGTTGCTGATTTTAATATATGCAGGTTTTAGATTCGGTCCTGCTCGTATTTGGTATGACTCAATGAATGTTTTGTCTAATCCATCTCATTTCGATTATGGGTTCAAATTGAAGCGTGAAGTTTGTGTTTTCAACACTTTTCGTATTGATTATTTCAACTTTTAGTTGTATAAATCATATTTTTACAGCAGTTGTTACAAAAAAAGAATCCCATGAAAGACGGGAAAGATGATAAAAGTGAAAATGAAGTGATTGAGGAAGAAATTGGTCCTGGGTTGGCAGCGACTGAACCATTTCCTCCGGAAACATTCCTTCCTGTAAATTTAATTCGGTGGGAAGATGACATAATGCTTGATGAAGAACAGGCTCGGCGACAGGTTTTCTTCCATTTTTAAATTCGTTCAAGTGCTTTTCGTGAAATTGTGCACTAACGAAATCAGTTTTTCCTTTTTTGAAAAAATCATTTCAGATTTTGAAAGGTTTGGCTTCTCAGTCATCTGATAAACTCCCTGAATGTGGTTGGATACCTACTCAGCAAACGAGAAATTACGAGTCTTTTATGATAGCTTGTAAAATTTATCCCTTTTCTTTTATTTTCCATGTTATTATAAGTGTTTCTTGAGCACAATGATCACTGTTTTTTTAATTTTTGAATTCGCTATAAATTTTAAGCATAAACATATTCAGCTAATTATTTAAGCTTTTTCTTCAATTCCTCTTTTTTCAGTTAAAACCCGTGCATTTGAACAGATGTTTTCGAAATCTGGAACATTTTCTTCATTGAACAACGCAAATTTGAGTTAGTAATATGTGATTGATTTTTTTTTCGGGAGTGTAACTGATATAAACTGATTCTCGCGAGTTTCAATCTATTATGTTCTTTTGAAATCCTGTCATGGTGAGCAATGAAATTCTAAAGCATCATTTGTTGAAATTCGAATAACACAAAAAATCCTGAGAGTTCTTCAAAAAAATGGTTGGGATTGTTAAATAGAAAAACGAGCATACTTTTCTTTTATATAAAAGGCTTGTTTCAAATTAGTGTTTCGTACTTTATGAGCTAATCAATTTTTTTTGCATTTTTAGCGACCTATGTTAAATTAAGAGTTTATCTCATTCACCTTCAATAATATAATGTATGGATCTTCAATCTTTAAAGATATGTATTATTAATGTGTCAAATTTCAATTCTTTAGACTTTCCAAAAGAACCAACTCCATCTCATTCTCTTTTTCCTATGGAAAACTATGACTTACTTTATACGAAATGGGAAGATGACATTATATGGGATTCAGAAAATAT